ATTCTTGACAACAAGCATGTTTCAAAATCCTTTCTACTTGGGAATGTGCTGGTCAGATCTTTCACAAGGTTTTAAATACCTTCTGTGTTAGCAATCTGTGTTAGCCACTTCTTATTTAAAGGCATACTGAGTTAACAGTCTACAAACAACTGCCCTATGTAGTCCCATGTATTATCAATCTGCATTCATTACGATGGAGTCCTGAAATCCCATTAACTATAACACATGCTTCTTTTCTTAAAGAGACTTTTATAGGAAGAAAATAGGCTGCACCTTTGCTCAGAACTCCCCCAGTGCACTGCACAATAGTGCTGTTTCTCCCTCTTTTAAACAAATCCAGCCTCAGCTTACAGACTAATTTGATGACAAATAAACTGCCTAGTTTCTACTGTTAACTTTTCCTCCTACTGCTCTACAGAGGAAGAAAGGTCACGGTGACCGGATTACAAGACATCTTAGTTTCCATGTCTCCAAGAAAATGGAACGAAAAGTTACATGTTACATCCAAGGGGAATAAACCTTCCTACGCTCCATTCCCAACCCCAACTAAAACCAACAAATAAACAAATTCATTGTCTTTCTGTGAAGTATTAATTTGCTGTGAGTCAAATAATAAGAAGCTAAGTCTCAGTTTAGAGATACAATCTAAGGTCAAGAAAACTAGAGAGCAGCTTGAGGGTCCAGGGTGGAATTTCTACCCAGGTAAATTCCTCCTAGTGACCCCTGATCTGTCCTCACACCCTGCTCCTAGTGACCCCAGATCTGTCCTCACACCCTGCTCCTAGTGACCCCTGATCTGTCCTCACACCCTGCCCCTAGTGACCCCCGATCTGTCCTCACACCCTGCTCCAGACACGGCCTCTCAGGCAGCCTCCCCTCACTCCTCAGTGCTGTAGAGCTAGAATTCCTGTTACTTTTTTTTTTTGTTAAGAATTCTAGGCTCTTTAATCACTCAATTTTTTTACAAATAGGACAGACAATTCATTTGACAAAAGTTTTGTAGGAGCACTTGTACATAAAGAACAATTACAGGGGCTGGGAAGGTGGCTCAGTGGTAGAGCGCTTGCCTTGCATGCATGAGGCCCTGGGTTCGATTCCTCAGCACCACATAAGCAAAAAGAAAAAAGCCAGAAGTGGCGCTGTGGCTCAAGTGGTAGAGCGCTAGCCTTGAGTTGAAGAGCTGCGGGACAGTGCCCAGGCCCAGAGTTCAGGCCCCATGACCGGACCCCCCCCCAAAAAAAAAAAAACAGAACAATTACACATGCTCCATTTTTTCCCCTGTAAATTAGCACCCAGCTTTTCAGAGGGAAACCCTAGAAAGCAATTGCTTGCACAGTAAGAAATAGCACAAGACTGGTCCCCAAACATCAGATTACTTAATGTCCCTTTGGCTGCCACTTGAGAATAAGATGCCATGTACGGTATGGGCCACTGGAAATGTCCTTTTAAAAACCAGTGTGGGCTGGGCACTGGTGGCTGACGGCTGACTCTGAGGCCACTTCTGTTCTCCTTGCTCTGCTACTTAGTCCGTACCCACTGTGGAATGCCTGTCACCCATTCTCCACTCCAAGGTAACAGCCCAGCAAGGCCCAGCCCCAATCCCAAACCCGACTGACAGAAGCACATGTCCATGTTCAACCTGCCTTGCGACTCCTTTTTTCATATCCACTTCACCTGCAACCATCCACGTCCATGCAGGCCAGAGTGTTACACAGGATTTCTAGCCTCTCCAATCCCTTCCCATACAGAAATGGCTTGATGGACAGCTGCCACACGATCATGCTTCACAGCACAAATTCTACCCCAGTGAACATGGATGCATTCATATTAAACAAATGCCTGAGTAGTTCTCATCCATCAGAACTATCCCGAGGCCCTGGTGCTGCACTTAGTGAACTGCCTTTGCCCTTCAGGAAAGTCCTTAAATGGAAACTATTGATTTTCTTGTTGCTGCCAGCCTCCCATGATGCTCTACAGCACTGCAGATTACAGAAGTCAATCAGTGTTTCCTACCTGCATAAGTAACAGGCACCAAAGTCACAGCTGAGAAGAAAGGAATTACTTTGCCCACACAAGCTCTGGTTCTGTGTCTTATGACATTGGCACCTTGAAATTACTTTACAGTATAGAGTTTACTTCCTCTGTGCCTTGTTTAGAATCTGATAGGCATATTAGCTGGGTGCTGATGGCCCACGCCTGTAATCCTAGCTATTCAGGAGGCTGAGATTTGAGGATCATGGTTCAAAGCCAGCTTAGCAAGGAAAAGTCTGACTTTCCAATTAATCACCAAAAAGCCAGAAGGCTAGAGCTATGGCTCAAGTGGGAGGGCATTAGCTTTGGTCAAAAAAGTTCAGGGACAGAGACTAGGTCCTGAGGTCAAGCCCTAGGACTAGTAAACACATAGACACGTGCGTGCGTATGCACACCCATATGTATACACACACATAGGTACACACACCAAGAAAAGGCAAAAGAGGGTCCACGGTCTGCACTTTCTCATTTGCAGATCACACACTGTGTAATGTGCTTGGGCCAGCAGTGCTTATGGTAAATATAAATACCAACGCTTCCTCATGTGGCGAGGTCCTTTCCTCTCATTAACAATGGCACCTTTTTCAAAAGCTTTCCATGCTTTATTAAGTCATATCCACTCCATGTGGGCACACTGCCAGTTTCTACTAAACAAAAGGAGTCCAAAGATAAACTCGGAGAAGCCCACCAAAACAAACAAAACCAATCCCACAACCACAGCCCAGCAGTCCAGGAAATGCTCCCTCCATTTAAACCTCTTCCACTCAAGACAATGAAAATGCAATCTACTAGTACATGAAGATATTCAGACAAGAATCATTACACTCCCTGCAGGCTCTTCTTACAAATACTATCAGAGATGAATGGCATAATTCTTCAACGGGCCAAGGAGAACTTGTAGTTAATCAGTCACCTCCTGTCCATCTTAGAAGCAAAGACCATCCAGGACTTTTGTTAATGGTTATATTAAAAAAAAATACCTATTAAAAAACTTCTACCAACAACAAATGTAAGACTTGAGTATATACAATTGTATTAAGTGGGACAAATGGATACGTGCTAGACAGTTCTCAAGCTGGCTCGTGAAGCTTGGAAAAGTACAAATCCCAGGACTCAGTAAATCTGGAAGGGGACTGAGATTCAGAGTTTCTAACAAGTTTCCAGGTGTTGATGAAGTTGCTGTCCAAGGCTTGGTGCAGCAAATGACTTTTCTGTATCTTAATTTCTTTTGAATCTTCATTCCTTCACCAATTTTTAAGTGTGTGCCACGAACCCCACCCTCACTGCCAAATAAGATCAGAGTTTTTGGCTTTCTAAGATCCCACTGATAAAGCCAACAAATAACTGCACTTTTCTGCCAAGGACTGTAATAAAGGCACTGGTAACAACTTGACCAGAAGGAAAGACTGTAATAAAAGGCATACGGTGAGAACCTGACTAGAAGGTAAGCATGAGTCTGCAACAACAATGCACTGGAGACCGCAGATCTTGTCAAAACACTGAGCTATGTGGTGCTTACCAGGAGGTAAGCTGCTAGCTCACAAGGAAGCCAGCACCTCAGGCATGAGGCGCAGTGGTCCTGGTTTTTACTTGTGAAGTTACTGTGCGTGTAAAGGCCTTTTGGTAGACCCATGTGCACTGCTGTATCAATAAGAATGGCACTACAGTAACATTTGCGTAGCTATCTATGTGGAAGGAATTGTTCTAAGTGCTTTACAGGTATTTTCTCACCTAACCCTACACACCAACTCTCTTAAGATGGGCCCATGTGCAACCCCACAGATCTGCGAGGCCAACAAACATTTGTCCTCCATTCAAACATGGCTCCAAGGGCCACTCGCTCCTGGAAAATTCTGGAAAAGTGTACTCTGGGTAAGCGCTGTGAGGGACGCACTGGCCAGTGTTGGGATGAAGCACAGATGCAAAGCTGCCGGGACAGACGCGCAGACGGCGAGGAATGGAGGCCATGCATCACAGGCACACAGGGGGACTTGCAGGTGTCCAGCTTGGAACACGGAAAGAACTCTAGTGCCAAGCAGTGAGAAGAGGAAAACAATTCTTTAATTTGGTGTGTGTGTTAACAGGAATCTGTGAGAGAAAGTGTTGTTATGCCTGGGTTCTTGTGGATACCATCTGGGCAAAGTTGGGTGGACCCAAGTATCAGAGGTGTGACCTGTGATCAAGGAAAATCACACAGAAAGTCCTGGAAATGAAGGAGGGGGGCAAGAGAGGCTGAGAGGGACCCAGGAAACAGTGGTCTACAAAGCCTCAGTTGCAGATTCAAGAGAGAATATCCTCTGTCCAAAAACTTGAGAATAATAATAAACCACAAGTTATTACTGGCATTAAATGCTGCTGAGTGACCAAGTAAACATCACCAGCTGGATTTGGTAAACAGTACCAGTGACTCTAGAAAGAACACGTGTGGTGCTGAGGCCAGAAGCTGACTCCAGGCGAGGAGGAATAAAAAGACGAAGAACGGAGCCACAACAGCAGTTCACCACTATAATCCCAGCTACTTCAGAGGCAGAGGACTGAGGTGGTCTGGGATTGGCAAAGAATAAGCGGGGTATGGTGCCACACATGTGTCACCCCAGTCAGGCAGGAGTGGGGTAGGAGGACTATGGTCAGTGGTGAAAAGGGACTCTATTCTGAAGTTGACAAGCCAAGTAGGAGAGGCCTTCCCCACACCAGGGGGAGCCCGAGTTCTGAACAACAAAATTAAGAGATGAAAAGTCTTTGCAAAGATCTCGCGAGGAGATTCAAGAGACCAATAACTAGTAACTAGAAAATAACAAAACATTTGATGTTGTTAAACATGAGACTGAAGTACTGTATCTCTCTTAAACTTCATCTGCTGAACAGATCTTACTGATGGTAGAGAGTGCACCTTGAGCTGAAGATCCACAGGCTCATGATACAATTTAGACAACATATAAATTAAAATGGAGATTGTAAATTTTCCTTACCAAGTGTATGGAGGCTTTGGGAAAATGAATTCTGGGCAGGTAACTATGCATTTCTCCTCTCCACTTGAAGTTCTCCATCTAGAAGTTCAGTCAATAAATAACCAATGTGGTAATGACATCCTAACCCAGCTGAAGAGATTGTTTATTTCCATACTTGACTTTCTACGCTATCTCCTCCAGAGTCCAGGTGTTTGATTCTAAGGTTTTGATAAGAAATTAAATAACTAATTAACATGTAAAAGACAATTACCACTGTTGTGGCATTTTGTGACTACCAATGGCCAAGATCCCTACTATGTCTTATAAACTAGATTCAAAAATTAGAATAGATAAATCTAAAACCCCACATTACACATCTGCACAGACTGCCTGCAGTGCTTACTTATTTCAAAAGACTAAAGTTGTGCTGGGCATCGGTGGCTCACGCCAGTTATCCTAGCTACTCAGGAGGCTGAGATCCGAGGATCACAGTTCAAAGCCAGCCCGGGCAGGAAATTCCGTAAGACTCTTATCTCCAATAAACCACCAGAAAACTGGAAGTGGTGCTGTGACTCAAGTGGTAGAGAGTGCACCTTGATGCACCTTGAGCTGAAGAGCTGAGGGACAGGGCCCAGGCCCAGAGTTCAAGCCCCATGACTGACAAAAATTTTTTTTCTCTCTGCTGGGCATGGGTGTCTCACACCTATAATCCTAGTTACGCTACTCAGGAGGCTAAGAGCTGAGGATTGTGGTTTGAAGCCAACCTGGGCAGAAGAGTCTGTGAGACTCTTACCTCCAATAAACTACACAGAAAAAGCTGGCGGTGGTGCTGTGACTCAAATGGTAGAGTGCTAGCCTTTAGCATAAAAAGGCTCAGGGACAGCACCCAGGCCCTGAGTTGAAGCTCCAGGATCAGTCAAAAAACAAAAAAAACTCAATATGATTTCCTATACAATTGATTGAGTCACACACAACTTAAGTAATTAACACAATTTATTCTAGTGTTTAAGAACTTTTTTTGGCATGAATAATACTCACGGGGGAAAAAAAATCCTTCCAGGGCTGGGAAGGTGGCTCAGTGGTAGAGCGCTTGCCTTGCATGCCTGAGGCCCTGGGTTTGATTCCTCAGCACCATGTAAGAAAAAAGAAAAAAGCCGAAAGTGGCATTGTGGCTCAAGTGGTAGAGTGCTAGCCTTGAGCTGAAGAGTTGAGGGACAGCGCCCAGGCCCAGAGTTCAGGCCCCAAGACCGGACCCCAAAAAAAAAAATCTTTCCTTTCCATTGAAAAAAATCAGGCTTTTTTAAAACCTACAGGAAGAACCTAACTTCCTGTTAAGAAAAATTAACTATACGATGGAACTCACTCAACTGCCACTATCTGGACATATTTAGACAATGAACAAAAGGAAGGAAGCTCTGTCATCACCAGACCACAGCCAGCCTCTCAGATTGGTGGCAAGCTGCCTGCCTCTGGCCTAACCCATCTGACAAGCGGGAAAGGTAGGAAGGTAGGTGCCCATGGCTGGCAACATAAACAAGGTGGAGTTTAGGCTTTGAAGGCACAGGAAGCTTAAAAACAAAACAAAAACCCCTGTGACTCCAAGAACCCTGCAATTTAATTTCTACCTTGGCTTTACATTTGCCAACACTCAAAAGTGTATAAATTATATGAGAACTGTTTGACTGAATGAGCCTGATGTCCACAATAGTCATAGTGAATGCTACAAGTGCCAAGCACTGCTTAAACTGTTTGACGCTCTTCAACCTAGGAGAATTTTCAACCCAAGTTTCTATAGAACTTTCTATAAAGTCATCTGGGCCATTGTTAAAAGACACCTACTTAGAAAGGACCTCTATGTACATATAGTTAACTTGGATTTTTAGTCTGACATGAAGCTGTTGTATTTTTTTTAATCAAAGGAGGAATTGATTATTAATCTTTTGAAAACAGTAGAGAAATGTATTAAGGTTACAATGCTATAGTGCTATATAATAGAGAATTTATTTGGTACATTAAAAAAAACCCACTTCTAATAAGCCACTGAAATGGCAAAATGATGGTGCAATCAACAGTAGAGACAAGTTTAGCGGGCAGACAATGCAAATGCTTTAACATGGTCGGTTCTTTTTGAAACACCATCTAGAGTGAAATGGAAAGCTCTGTTTAACAAATTCTAAAACCGTCACTGGAAGAGAGTGCCCCTGCTCCCCGCCTCTCTCTCCTTCTCTCTCGCTTTTTGTATTTGGGTAGTGATTAGGTCTTCGTTCATATTAGACAAGTGCTGTTATCACTGAGCTATCCTCTCAGCCTATTATTTTTTAAATGAAAAATTCAGATTTTTACACTTTATTGGATTTAAACTTTACTGGGTGTTCTTTACAATTTTCCTCTAGACCAAGAATTAATGAGAAACACAGAGTATGGGCATCATCCATTCATTTTAAAAAGGTAGATAGTGCTAACTAACCTGTTTAGTGGTTTACGATGTCTTTTAGGAATCTGAATTTACTCGTGGTAACACCCAAAGAAATTGTAAGATAGAGCAGCACACAGATGTAGTTTGTCAGTCTATCAAGTGTCTGGTCCTTCCACTCTCGTGTCCAGATAGCAGGTCAGTTCTCTTAGATGTCAAGGTAGTTGTACATTAGTCACAGGCTTCTGTTCTGTAGTGCCCTGGTGCCCTAATGTGCTTGCCAGATACAGGGATAGGTGTGCACTGAGGAAGATGAGGTTTAGACACACAAGAAGAGGCCCGCCATGATGCAGGAAGATCTGGAGTGAAGACCACTTGATGAAGGCTGCCGGGAGTTTGGAGGAGACGATTTTTTTTTTTCTCTAGAGCCTTCAGGGAAAGCAAGGCTCTGTTAACATCTTGATTTCCACCTTTAGGCCCTGAAACTCTGAGAGAATATTTTTCTATTGTCTAAGTGGTGTTTGGTATATTGTTACAGCAGCCCAAGAAACTAACCCCACCGATCTGATCACACAGAAACACCTGCCCTTCCAAAAGAGCAATCGTTGAGAAGGACAGCAAGGCTGTCTAGGTGATGAGAGCATACATGTGCAAATAAACACATGAGGAGCTGGGCTGTCACTGGCATCTGCATTTGTTCTATCTGTCAAGGATTACAAAATCCACCTACCAAGTATGGTATTTCTAGAAACAGATATGGAGGACAGCAGCTGTATCCGAATATGAAAATATTAGTGTCTCTACCGCACAACTTTTCCTGTAACAAAAATGCAGTTAAGCCGGGGGCTGCAGACCACTGGGGTAATGATTCAGAAAGTAATATATTTAGAAAGAGGGCTATAATTGAAGTGTTGCTGTTTGGAAACCTCTTCCTTGCAATTACACTGGGTCTGACCACACTATAATAAATTCTACCCCCTCCTATTTAAAAGGCTCAAAACAATTTCAACCAACACACAAGGAAAGGTCTACTTCCTAAAACAGCAGCTGTCCTTTACGTCTTCAAAGAATATCTTAGTAAAAGTCCTCTGATCTTACTAATAACTCTATTACCTTAGCAAATGTATAACAAAAACCTCACTCAATAAACAATCATTATTTAAAAAAAACAAAAACTACTTGTTCAAATATACAACATTCTTTTTTTTGGGGGGTCCAGTCGTGGGGCCTGAACTCTGGGCCTAGGCGCTGTCCCTCAGCTCAAGGCTAGTGCTCTACCACTTGAGCCAAAGCGCCACTTGCGGCTTTTTTCTTTTTGCTTATATGGTGCTGAGGAATTGAACCCAGGGCCTCAGGCATGCAAGGCAAGCACTCTACTACTGAGCCACCTTCCCAGCCCCCAAATATACAACATTCTTGATCACAGAATGATTACCTCTGGCAGAGCAGTAGGGGGGACTCGGCCCCAGCAGTGTGCATCAGGCGGTAACATGGCCATGCTGGGAGTAACTTGCAAAAGGACTGAAAAAAGTATCAAGACCAGCACCACAATCTGCCATGGGTTAAACTGTATGCGAGTCTACTTTAGGGATCTGAATGAAGACTTGAAGAGAAAAAAGGCCTACCATCAGGCTACAAATTCTCATGAGGTACAAGTAATTGCAAATTAGCCATTACTACCAGGGTCAAAGACTAAACACCAAACTTTTCCTATGAATTCAAGTAGAAAAAAAAAAAGGCAATATTCCTAAAGGAGTTTTTTAGAAGTGAAAACACTATGCTTTGGTTGTACGGACTGTATAAATGCCAAGATTTACAAAGCAGCTGCCACCCCAAATCCAAATCTGGAGTTACTATTTTACAAAATACTCCAAAGGTAAAAGGGACTTAAGATTTTCTTTGTGGTTAAAGGCGCAATGCAACATAAACCAATGGTGAAGTTCGTGAGTATGTGTGTGCATGCACATGAGTACACCTCACTGGTAAGACTGGTGTTCCTGCCCACTCTCCTACAGTTTTCAAGTTCCCCGGGTGATACTGCTCTACAATTTCCTGGCTGAAACCCACGAGAGCACATTCAAAATGATTGCTTTCCATACCTATGTGTCTCTAGTCAACGCACACCCCTCCCCCACACCAAAGGCAAGAAATCGGTGCCATTTGCTTCATTTTAATTTCTGGCTTCCAGGCGTTTTGCCGTATCTGTGTCTTGTTTTGAGAGCTCCATACAAAGTTATACTGATCAACTATTTTTTTACATAAGAGGAAAAAATTTAGTTCCTATAGCTTAAAAGTTATGGTTTAGAAGATGTTTTACAGAAGTAAAATAAAACCACAGCAAGAGCAATTAAGGAAACATAATTACTGCTACACTGTATTGTCTATGATTACTTAAAAATAGTTCATGGGGCTGGAAATAAGGCTTAATGGTAGAGTGCTTGCCTAGCATGCATGAGGCCCTGGGTTCGATTCCTCAGTACCAATTACACAGAAAAAGCCAGAAGTGGCACTGTGGCCACTTCCGTGTGGTGGGGTGCTAGCCTTCAGCAAAAGAAGCTCAGAACATGTCCAAGCCCTAAGTTCAAGCCCCAGTACTGGCAAAAAAAAAAAAAGGAGGGCTGGGAATGTGGCTCAGTGGTAGAGTGCTTGCCTAGCATGCATGAAGCCTTGGGTTTGATTCCTTAGTGTCACATAAACAGAAAAGGCCAGAAGTGGCACGATGGTTCAAGTGCAGAGTGCTAGACTTGAGCAAAAGAAGCTCAGGGACAGCGCCCAGGCCCTGAGTTCAAGCCCCAGTACTGACAAAAAAAAAAGGGGGGGGGGTCACAGGGTTTTGTTTTTGGCTATCTTAAATATAAAGATACTTGCTCTCCCCTCCTGTATTAGGTAAACTATTTTTAAAAAAGAAAAATACTATTTTATTTAAAAGAAGGTAAAAGGCACTGAAACATTTCATTAATAAATAATCTCATAAATAATATAGCCCATCTGAACATAGTGAGGAAAAACAACAAAATATTGTGTATAAAAGTTTAGGTGCGCAGAAAAATCTAACCAATTCATTGGATGATGGTAATATTCATACATTTTCTTTGAACTGAATGTCTGTTTCAATAGTAAATCTCACATTTCTCTGATTCTATGACCCTTTTTAACTATTAACATCTCAGAATTAGCCAGATATTTGGACATTTTCTAATTCTGAATGGCTTCTTACACCAATGGCATCTCATATTCAATGAAATACAATGCTGCCATGAAACAAGTTTAAATGTGCAGCTCTATAAAGTGTGATCTTTAAGTTAAAAATACGAAATTAAGTGAAGCAATGAAAATCAGAGGACAAGAGGACTTGCTTTGGTAGAATGAATTAATCATAATGAAAAGATTTTTTATCAATGCAATAATACATGAAGTTATTTCCAGAGTTTTAAGTTCATAATTTCAAACTATTTCTATCTTGTAATACTCCCTCCCCCCACCCCTTGCCACTTTTGTGCCAGTACCAGCAGGGCTTCAACTCAGGGCCAAATCATGCTCTCATTCCGCTTTCTTGCTCACTGCTGGCATAATACCAATACTACCACTTAAATCATGCCCAGCTTTTTTTTTTTTTGGGGGGGGGGGAGTTCTGGGGCTATAACTCAGGGCCTAGGCACTGGCCCTGAGCCTCTTTCTTTGTGTTCAAGACTAGTGCTCTACCACTTGAGCCACAGTGCTACTTCCAGCCTTTTCTGAACAGTTTATTAGAAATAAGAGTCTCTTTGCAGGGAAATGGATGGAGCTAGAAGAAATCATGTTGAGCGAGGTAAGCCAAGAGCAAAGAGACAAAAGGTATATGGTGTCTCCCTGATAAGTGATGTTAAATCCAAAATGTTAGTTGATACGACAAAATTAACAGGACTTAAGAAACAAAGGACTTCCACTCATCTGGTCGACTCACTACTAAATAACCCCATGCTGCTGATCACATGTATGGTATATATATATACACCGGAGGGAAACCAGGAAGATGACACAGAATTAGAGAGAATCAGGGAAAAACATATACCAGCGGGACCCATCAGCTGCACTGGACATTGACCAAAATGAACTAAGCAACTTAATGGCAGCGATGGGAGGGAGGGAACAAGTGGGAAAGAGGAAACAGCTGATGTTATGCAAAACAAAAGAAATGTACATATCACCAATGTGGAAGAAATAGCTGTAGCAAAGCTCATAGAACTCATAAATGTTATAGACCACGGTAGACAATTTGCTCCAGGAAAGTTAGAATGTGTTTGTGACTTTAACTAAGCATCACTATCCCACAATACTGTGAAATTTGGGAAATGACATAACCACTCAATCACAATAAAAAATTTGAAAAAAAAAAAGAAAGAAAGAAGAGTCTCATGGACTTTCTTACCCAGGTTGGCTTTGAACTGCAATCCTCAGATTTCTTGAGTAGCTAGGCTTACAGATGTGAGCCACCAGAGCCCCACTTAGCCCAGCTTTTTGCTGGTTAATTGGAGATGGAGTCTCCCAATTCTTCAAACTTGGCTAGCTTTGAACCTCCATTAGGAGATATTAGCCTCCTGAGTAGCTAAGATTACAGGAGTAAGCCACTGGTTGGCTTTTTTGTAATACTTAAAAACTGCCTACCCTATACTGAAATGAAATTGTAATAGAGCATTCTACTCATAATATGATCCAGATTAAGACTACTTAGGTATAAAATCAGTTTTTATTTACACTCTGTCTAGAGTATTATATACACTGAACTTAAGTCCATGCACAAAATGTTGAAAGACATTAAAAAATTGTGGTTCCGTCTACGATACAAGAAAAGTGATTTTTTTTTTTTGGTCAGCCCTGGGCACTCTTCCTAAACGCCTTTTGCTCAGGCTAGCACTCGACCACTTCAGCTACAGCATCACTGCTGGCTTTTTCTGTGATCAACTGGCCTCATGCACTGTTGGAAACCGTCTGTTTTTTGCTGTTGTTTGTTTTTTGGTTAATCATAAGGGCTTGAACTCAGGGCCTGGCACTGCCCCTGAGCTTTCCTGATCAAGGATCGTATTCTACCAATTTGAGCCACAGCTCCACTTCCAGTTTTTTGGTGGTTAGTTGGCGATAAAGTCTCCTGGACCTTCCTGTCTGGGCTGGCTTTGAACCTCAAACCTCAGATCTCAGCCTCCTGAGTAGCCAAGATTACAGTCATGAGCCACCAGCACTGGCACAAAAAAAGTGATCTTGCCTCATGCTTGAAATCCCAGCTACTCAGGAGGCTGAGACCTGAGGATTCCTATTAGAAGCTAGCCAAGGGAGGAGAGACCATTCCCCGCCCCCCGCCCCCACACAGCCAGAAAAGAAGCTGTGGCTCAAGTGGTACAGAACTAGCTTTGAACTCCTAGGCCCTGAATTCAAGCCCTAGGACCATCACCACCACCCCTCTCCCCCCAAAAAATAGTGCTCTCACTTTTTAAAACCTGTGGCTATAGTTCACTTACACAGCACAAGCTTAGTAAGCCAAAGGCCCTGAGTTCAATCTCTAGCACAAAACAAAACATGTACCTCCATGTGACTCAGTGCCTCATGTAGTTGCTGGCTGCAGCACCCCCAATTACTGGAGTAAGTAGCTGGGTTCTTCTTTAAGTATTCCTAATTGCCATCATTCTAGTGACAGAATGGTAAACAAAAGCATTAAAGTGTGGTACGTCCTAGGCCAAACTGATCTAAGTGAAACAGTAAATTTCTTTCTCCTGCACTGAAAAAAAAACTGAGAATGGAAATACCAATTTAGGAAATTTAGCACAAAACTGAATAATTTCCTTTCACTTAAACACTATGTAACAAATCAAAAGACAAAGCAGGAGCACACACACAGCAATTTCTAGTTAGCGCTTTTGGAAGTGTCATGTTTTCCAGATACAGCATTAACAACTGATTGGATAACTTTTACCCTCTAGAACCTTCAAACTACTACAATTCACTTACTTTGTTCACAAAATAAGCCACATGAAGGTCAAATAGTGATGAGAACTTTGGGATCAAAACATCACTAAAAAGTTTGATATTTTAAAAAAGTGCTGCTTAGTCCAAGTGAAGTGAATATCACTTAGTTTTAATAATTAGTTTTAATAACAGTAAATGCAACTTAGATAAATGGAGAGGAATTCTGGTTAATATAGTTTCCTTCAGGACAAGGTCTTTATCTTCCTGAATATCAAATCTTTGCACAAATGTCTCAGTTCTTTCTCACTAATTAAGACAAAGATCTGAAAACTCAAATTACTAAGAAATAAATACCACTTAAATATTTCTACTGTCACATGCTTATCCAGATAACAAAATGTATCAAGTGCTACTTTTATTTAAACCCTGTAAGGAAGATGTTATTTTTGGCCAAGGACTTGAAAGTTCTTAGCGCTCTCTTGATCATTTAAGGAAGTTAAAGGAAGGGTTTTATCTGTCTGTCATTTTTGGAGGCTTTATAAACGTAGCTTAGGAATTTCAGACAAATAGACAACATGACTTTGTTGGAAATGCATAGGAAAGCAAATAAGTAGCCATTCACAGAATTAAATGAAAGCCTTCCATAAAGAAACGGGAAAGCACTGATGCTTAACCTATATATTTACTCTATATGGGAAACTCAAAAGAAAATGAACAGCAAATAAAACTTAATTAGGAACCAACCCCAGTTTACCCTGGAGGCTAACCTGAACAAGTGTGGCCCACAGCCTACAGAACAAACAATGGACACTTTGTTCCTTGTATAGAAACTAGGACACCTTTAGTATCACCAGTACACATCCTGGGCAATTAAGAAATCCTTAAGAACTAGTAAGTTCTTCAGTGCTAGTTCTATGAAGAACAGCACATGCAATACAGCCTTTATGTGAAATCTACCTCCATGCTACATCTGGCTTCAGGCATAACTGTACTAAGAACGAACTGCCACCTGCCAATGTATTCCTTTAACAATATTTCTTACTCTACCTTCATCAAGACTAAGAATTAAAGGTAAATCAATATTTGCCAAATTTGCCAATTTTCTATCAAGTTTTAAAGAACATTTTATTACCTAAACTTTTTCTTAACTTTCTAGGTTTCTCTGTATGTGCACAAAGACTTAGAGAAACAGAAAAAGTCCTCATGACATAATAAACGTACACAGTAGTACACACACACTAATGAGACTGCATGATTTTTACACCTGCACATGCTTCTACCACTGTTCATTCTTAATATAGGAGTGATAAAAGTTTCACAACTAAGTACATGCTACTAATGATTCATGGTTTTAAGAATTTATAGGTCAAAAAAATACAATTCCTAGAACATTGTTATCAAACAAGTAAGTTTTATTGGCATCTAAAAACAAAATTCACCCAACATTGAAACGTACTTTAATATTTATGTTATTTTCTTTTTTTTTTTAAACTTACTGCAGTATGAGGAACAAATCATACACACTTACTTTGGAGTAACAGAGACCATAGTGTAGATTTTACAAAATCACTTTTTAAAAAATCTCTGTATTATGCTCCTCAAATATCTACAGCCAGTCTTCGCATAAAATATCACAGCTTTGTCTATTACCTTAAAATTCTGCAGCAGCCTAGAGATATGGGTAAGATATACTACCACTTGCTAGTTCGAAATATATCGATTACCATATCCAACCTAATGATAGTATCTAAAAAACTCTTTCTTCCATAGGAAGTCTCTGACAAGCTGTTATTCATTTCCTCAACATTAAAAGAATCTGGGGCAACATTTATATTTTTATCCGAAAAATAAAAAAAAAATGTTTACCTACCATGTTCATACTAAGAACAATGTCTATACAAGTCAGTTGTACAATTATTGTAAGAGCAAGGTGACATAAACATCAGATTAACTTAATTGTGGCAGACAAAAGTGAACAACTACGGTCCGGTCAGCCATCAATCTATTACAGGGATGACAACTTTACAAAAGGTATCTTTTACCTACTGAGTGATGATTATGTCCCCTCAGTTTCTGTGCTTTCTACCACCACTGGTTCACTTTCTACATCAGCAACTGTGTCACTCTTCTCCTTGTTTATCTCATTTGAAGATGTCAGTTTTTCATAAAGTTCAGGATCGTTCTGTACTGGAACTGGCAAAGGCGGTGGCTGAGCATGTCTCTCTGTATTTTCACCATTAACCTGAGGCACGTTATCAACTTTACGTTGGGAAGTGGCCCCTTCAAAATAATCAAAAACCCGAGCATGAGGAGGGGGGACCCAAGTGTTTTGAATTCTATCACGTCCAAGACGATTTCCGTTCATTTCTCTGCAGAAATCAAAATCTCTGTCGTCCCTATCCCTTTGCCTTTCCCAGGGTCTTCTGCGGTCATCAAAATCTCTGTGAACTTCTTGTCCAAATCCTCGGTTCCAAGGACCACTTCTAGGATCAAAGCGAAAGGTTCCAGCCCGAAACCTTCCCCTTTCTTCATGTAAGCCTTTTGGACCACTAAAAACAGGGAGAACCCGATGCTCTCTCTCGTCAAAATCTCCTCTCTGCCCCCAAGGCTTCTCTGGAGTAAAAGCAAAGTGGTCTCTTCGACCAAGGTGATCTATACCTGGTCTTACAAGATTCTCCCTTATGTCTATAGGAGGTCGTCCAAAATGATCCCTACCATCTACTGGAGGCCTTCCAGGACCTTCTCTTGGATCTATAGGCCGTCCAACCACATCCCTAACATCCATTGCAGGAGGCCTACTAATGCCTTCCCTGCTTTCTACCGGAGGAAACCGGTAATCTCGATCTCCTTCTTGTTGAACACTGTCATTCCCAAGTGGAATTCTTTTGTCTGGATTGGTAACGTGGTCTACGTTTTGTCTTCCAGGCGCTAGAAAAGGTCTTTCTGGATGACTGAAAATATCTCCTGGAGGAAAAGGTCCCCGGGGCGGTGGGTGAAGAGCTGAGTCCAGGACCACTGGGGGAGGGATACCCCGCTGGGGCGGAATTCCAGGCTGAATTAAAGGGAATCTTGGTCCAGGTGCCTGTGGTATTAGTCCTGGACGAATGTCCAACATTGGCAATGCAGGCATCCTTTGACTAGGGATATTCAGAGGGGGCAAGTTTTGAGGTCCAGCTGGTGGCTGCGTTCCCAAAAGTCCGGAAGTATTTGTGACACTTGGTGGCTGTATTCCTCCAAGTCCAGAACTGTTAGGCAGACCAGGAGGCAGCACACCCAGAAGTCCAGAACTACTTGACACATTTGGTGGCTGTATTCCCAAAATTCCAGAATGATTTAAGATATGTGGTGGTTGTGCTCCAATAATCCCAGAACTGCTGGAAACATTTGCTGGCCGAACCCCAAGAATTTCAGAATTACTTGGTACATTTGGTCTTTGGGCTCCCAGAATTCCAGAATTACTCGTCACATTAGGTGGCTGTCCTCCTAAAATCGCAGCATTAGTTGGAATATCATTTGGAATCGCTAAGACAGAAAGAGAAATAATCCAAAATATTACTTATTCTCATATGAAGAAATTGTATTTATAAGTTACTCATGCGACAACCTCTAGTAATTACCTTACAGTTAATCAGCGATTTTTATCCCCCAAGAATCAAGCTACACTTGACACTGAAGAAAACTTAGGAAGGATTTTATGATATAATTCAATGGTACATACAGAACTTGTCTATGCTGCATAAGATCCTAGGCTCCAACGCCAGTATCATCAAAACAAACAAATACCCAAGCAGAACTGTTATCTAATTTCTCACAAAATCTTTTTAAACAAAATTTCAGATTTCATAGTGCTTCTCTACTTCTAACAGCCTTTCTACAGAGTAATTCTTAATACAGCAATAACAGGACCATAACCAAAGGACTTAAGGCTTTCATACAGTACATTTAATTTTCTAGTTTTAGCTGCATAACACCTGGTAGAAAAGTTTTTCATACATAGTATTTATTCCTTTTAACTGTCACTATACATATGCAGATTCTGTTGTAGTCTTATTTTGACATGAATAGGCCAAAAAGTGTGTGAGAAGGAATCTTAAAGGAAAAGTTAAAATCTGTATCAGAAAGGTGGTCAGTTTTTAAAAGAAATCCAAGTTACAGGACACCAGTAACTTTTTTCAAAAAACAAAAAGCAAACAAACAACAAAAAAAAAAAACTACGCTGTTTCAACATGTGTGCAATGAACACCCCAGATAGCAAATTGAAAAGAAATGCTTATGGAGTTTATGCATTTCTAAAGACTTTGTTTCTTTTTACCTGGTCTGGTGTTTTCACCAGAGGAAATCTGATGTTCTATAAGATGAGGTACTTTGTCTTCAGGCTCTGCTTGTTTAGTTGGAGGATTAAAAACATTTCCAGCTGGTAGAGCGGAAGGAGCTAGACTGCCGGCAACAGAACCACCTGGCAGAACAAGGCTACCAAAGCCAACATCTTTCACAGTTTCTGGGGCCATGGACAATGGCGGTTGCACTAAAGCTGTTTGAAAGGGAGGAAAATGTATTTCAGATTGAATCAGCCGATCGATTCATGTCTAAGTTTGCTGGCAGTTTGAGAGCTTTCCTTAACAGCATCTCTGTATTACAGGCACTACTCTAATAAACTAATGCTCAAAATGACTTGTCATCATGAAAAGACAACATTACATATTTACAAAGTTTTACTTTCTAAATGGAAAACCAACTCTTTTTAAAACCATTTTTTTCACCAGAAATGGTCAATAAAATAAAAACTAGTAGTGAAGAAGCAAATTCTAGAAATAAAAAAATTATTCTCTCAAGGAAGTCAGCTATCTCTACATATAAAGAAACAATTAGCACACACTGAAAAATAAGTATCAAAATCTCCTAGGAACGATCACATCTAGGGTCACATTCATTGCATTTTTGTCCGGTGAAATTAGAAACTGATGAGAACAGGCAAGGTAGACTACAAATATAAAGCTATATGCATTCTGTCTTAAAGAATTTATAAAATCCCTAAGTATATACATAGCGCCCCCCCCCTTATTTTTTTTTTCTTTTTAAAGCAGAACTAGTAGAATATAAATCTCCAGCTATCTCACAACACAGTATGTCCTGTGTGGAGAGTTAAGAGAGTCCTGCATCGAGTCCTGCTTTTTCCTCACATTCACTGCCAGTATCACCTGGACAGGCTTAGCACAGAACAGAACTAGGAAGGGGGGAGCAGCCTGTGATCACAAACAGGAAGCACCAGATTTAAAGGAGCAGTGCATCATCAAATCCTTCTCTGTAGCTAAGCACAGGTTTCCCAAAGTTAATAATAAAGCAGGAATAACCAAAAGGCAGGCTCTAGCACTAGCCAATGAGAATAATGAATTCAGATTTTGAACACTTTGTTTAATTTTCAGAAATAATACTTCCAAATTAACAAACAATATAAAAGGAAGGATTCCAAAGCTACCTAAACATTGAGAGGAAAGCATTTAAGAATACATGGAAAATGGATTCAATTTTAAAAAGTTAAGATCTCTATTTATTATACATACTCTTTATAATAAGGGCCTTTGGGGGTCTAATTTTTGAAGTAGGCTCGCCCAAATTACTGAAGGTTTGTTCAGAAGCCTGAAGAATTACTGTAGATAAAAAGTAGAATAGAAGGGAAAAAATGAATAAAAGGGTGTGTTTAACATTTGTGAAATGTCCAACAACAGGAAAAAGGAAACAGGAATTAGAAAGTTAGCATGTCTGTAAATATTTACATTTGAGACTTGCATTCCTCCTGAAGTATTTATTCTAATAAGAAAATATAGATGTAAAACCAGGTAGGGGGAGATACACATTCCATGGAAATGTTTTTTTAAAAAAAAAAGTTGTGTATGAAGGTGCCACAACTACAAGGCGAAATGAGTTCAGGGGACCCTGGGTAACAGCAGTTTGGTTATACATAGTGAATATGTAGAGGATAGGAAACAGCCGAGAAACCTAGTTTCATCCTGAAGTCTTGAAATGGACTGTGATTGTATATGTAAGTATATAGTACAGGAGAATGAAAATAACTGCGTTTTTTTAGCAGGAAAAGAGGCAGCTGTAAAGTAGTTATAAGTCCTACAAATTGTATTTGTTCAATAGTTTAGAGTCCTATTACTTTTTTCTTTTCAAGGTATGTATTTTCTAGCTTTGGTCACTGAAAACTTGTAGGGCCAAATGAAATCCCAAGAAAAAACTAAAAATCTGGTATCAGACAGTGGTCTTTCAACTGTGTGTATGGGGGGGCGGTGAGAGGGGGGGGTGTTAATCCCATTTAGAGAAATGGCTGATTCTTAGACCACAGCAGAAAGACAGTGTCAACTGGAGACCTATTGGGCAAAAATACTACAATGCCCTTAAAAAAAACTAATTATAACATAAATGTAGGTATTGCAAAAGCATGGACAAAACAGTCAAAGATCTCCCAATGCCCAAAGATGAAACAATTAGAAACTTAAAAGTAACAATGAATGACTGGGAGTTAAAAATCTATTCATACAGCACACACAAGAAGAAAAAGGAGGAGAAGAAGGAGGAGAAGGAGGAGGAGGAGGAATAAGAAAAAGGAAGAAGAAGGAGGAGGAGGAGGAAGGAAGGATGAGGTAGGGAATGGAAGAGAGGAAATTAGAAGAATCAATCTTTCCCTTTCAATCACTGGAAACTGCTAGCATCACCCACAGAACTAATTCACCATCGAAAAATAGCAAATAAAGCAAAGGTTTAGCATCTAACTCGGCTTTCCTATTCAGAACTTCAACATAACTACCATTAACTGATAAGAGATCATTTTTCTTTACCAAGCATTTTTTTAAAACAAAAAATGTAAAAGGAACTATTGAAAGAGAGCCCTCTGCTATTAATGACAAACTGACTTAGAGACCACTAATCACTGGATAAAGCCATTACCTAAAAATCAAAGAGAAACGCTAGAAACAAGCAAGTTCCTGCTAGAATGCTCTGGTCCATCTTAACAACACTAATGTGGCGCAAGCCCCCAGGAGTATATTCTCTCCAACATCAACTCTGGATGTGGGTAACATGGCATGTCACTGTGGGTTCATCAGTTGTGACTATGTACCTCTCTGGGGTGGGCGATGATAACCAGGGAAGATGGGCATGTGGGAAATTTCTGTACTTGCCAATCAACTTTACTGAGTGTCTACTGGCTCTGAAGCCTATTTTCTTTTTTAATGGAACAGAAAAGACACTGCATGGCTCCTGATGTAATGAAATACTAAGTTTTGGGCATTTTGCTCATCATGAAGAATTATGAAAAGCAAAGGAGGATTGAAGGATACCCCTAGATGAAGACATTTATAATAAACAGGGCAAAACAAAACAGAAATATGATGAGAAGACACTCAGAATTTGCACCGAAATAAGTCAATTATAAAATGATGCTTCGAGACAACAGCAAACATAAATTAAAAACTATCATGATATTTAACTTTCAAAACTCACCTAACAAATGCATTTGTTTAAAAACATTCATAATTTTAAAAACTAACCATAGCCACAGGAATGAGAGCCAACATAACAATACCACTGAAAGAAAGAGAAATCTGTCAGTAGAAAACTCACATGTTGGTACTACTGGAGGGATCGCAGGGGGTGGTACCACAGGTGGAGGGACTGGAGGTGGCATGAAACCTACATGGAAACAAGAATAGCAGAAATAAGACAGCACAAGAACAAAAATGACTGGTTTTAGATCAAGATCTTAACAGCTGTAAAATTCGACACTGTTCTTTTTGAGTTGGGAATGGGGGGCAGGGGAGGGCACAGGGTGTTGTCTAGTTATGCTGTCCAGGTTGAATTCCTGGACTGAACTAGTGGATTCTTCTGCCTTAGTTTCCTGAGGAGCTGTGTAATATGTGAAATCACATATTCTTTTTTTTTTTTTTTGACAGTCTTAGGGCTTGAACTCAGGGCACGGGCACTGACCCTGAGCTTCTTTTACTCAAGGCTAACACTGGACCACTTGAGCCACAGTACCACTTCTGGCCTTTTCTATTTATGTGGTACTGAGGAATTGAACTCAGGGCTTCATGCATGCTAGGCAAGCACTCTACAACTATGCCACATTCCCAGCCTACACATTCTTAAAATAGCCTTTTACTTCATGTCCTTATATTTGTGTTTATACTTTCCATTAAAAAAATGGAATACTGCCTTATTTGAGCCCTACTAAGCTAGATAAAGATTCTGATCTTAAGTACATTTTATTTCTTTATTCACTCAAGTCCTGGAATATGCTGGATTGCTGCTCTAAAATCAAAGGCTAATACAAGCCAGGTAATCTGTTTAAGTCAGGACAAGAGCTGTTTAGCGTGAGTGAAGTCCTGAGTTCAAACCTCAGTACCAAAAGATACAACCTCTGCATGGAGCTTAATCATATTACATGTAATTATGTCATCTGTCAAACATGCTACTTTGATATACATGCTGTTTACCCTCTATATCAAATAACTTTTCAGAGGCTTAGATGACACTCTTATGTTTTCAGTTCTAGAGTAAGATTATTTATCTGAATACTGGCAGATGATGACAGATCAAATGACCAAACTATAAACCTGGCTCTTTGCATTTTAAACACAGCTACTACTACAGTCCATTACACAGAGATTAAAAATAAAATTTAAAGATGTAATTTTTTTGGGGGGGGGGTCAGTTGTGGGGCTTGAACTCTGGGCCTGGGCGCTGTGCCTGTGCTCTTCAGTTCAAGGCCAGCGCTCTACCGCTTGAGCCACAGTGCCACTTCCGGTTTTCTAGTGGTTTATTGGAGATAAGAGTCTCATGGACTTTCCTGCCTGGGCTGGCTCTGAACCGTGATCCTCAGTTCTCAGCCTCCTGAGTAGCTAGGATTATAGGCGTGAGCCGCCAGCGCCTGGCTTATAGATGTAATTTTTTAAAGAAATGAATGGCATATACTATTATTGTTCTAATTCTGAACTTAGCTGTTCCTTGAATAATAGTGGCTTGTCTTGAAACACTGAAATAAAGTATGTCACTGTAAGTAAAAAAAAAAAGACAATGACAAAATCACTTTTTAAAGTCAAAATTTTAAGTAAAAAAATATTAAATATAAAAAATTAAACTAGCCAGGGACCAGTAGCTTACACCTGTAAGCCTAGCTACTAGGGAGGCTGAGATCTGAGGACATGGTTCAAAGCCAGCCCAGGCAGGAAAGTCTGTGAGATTCTTATCTCCAATTAACTACCAGAAAACTGGAAGTAGCACTGTGGCTCAAGTGGCAGAGCACTGGCCTTGAGCTGAAGAGCTCAGGGACCGCGCCCAGGCCCAGAGTTCAAGGTCCATGACTGAAAAAAAATTAAAAAATTAAACTATGAAAAAGATAAAATTCTTAGTAACATCTTTCAAGTTCAAATTATGTGTAATATGGTAATTAAAAATTTTTTTGTAGCCCAACAAATAAATTACAACTGCTCTCAGATGATGAATTTATTGTTCCACCTCCCAATTGTTGGGACTACAGGCAAGAACCACCATTTGTTGTATACTTCAGATTTTTGTTGAGTTTTTAGGAACTTGGCTAACCAATGGTAAAGAATTAAATTCCAGAAAGCAAAGTACTCTTTTTAATATCCTAACAATCTGGAGGCTAAAAAACTTTCTGAATTTTGAGAATTAGATCATTTAATCCCTGTACCTCTCCCCTTCATTCTTCGAACTTCTCACAGTGTGATATAAAAGCACTAGTTCTAAATTATATAAACCATTATGTATAGTTCAAGATTACAATGTGTGTCATTTAACTCAGTTTTAACCTGGAAACACTGGCTCAGGGAACTTTTATTGACACTTATTATTAGCAGATAAGCTTTGGATCATGTATAAGGATTTTGGGGGTCCTTCTCCCAGCCACTTGAATGCTGAAAATAAGTTAGCGATGAGGGTCCACGGCCCCTCCCTCTCAGATCTGGGGGAAACAAAAACTGTTGACTGCATCTAGCAATTTGTGCTCAAACAAACCCTGAAGGCTGTCTTGATGTGTGCTAAATAGGTCAGAGAAGCATAGCTGTACGGCACTGAAACATGGAGAAAGAACAGTTTAGAGACATTTTCAATGGAATTTGAATAATGAGATGAAAATTACTTACCAGGAGGTGGCTGTGAAGGGTTAAAGCTTGCTCGCAGAAAAGGAGGCGGAGGGATAGGACTGAATCCAGGAGGGGGCACAGGCATTGACACAGGAAACGTTGGTGGGACTAAACTAACTGTCGGCACTGCAGGTGCTACTGGAATCTTTGTAGGTAGAAAAAAAGGTCTATTAATTGGCTTCTTCACCTGCAATGATTACGTCCTGTCATGACTAAGATGCAGTGTGTATGAAGTTAAGCTCTTGCTTCAACACCTTATACATTCATGATTCAGACCCAGGCAATATTATTCAACAATTTACTTAAGAGATTGTGAGGACTTTTTTGTTTTCAGATGCACTGTAATCAGCATGTAGTTGAATATGGAATATCAAGCTCAATTTTCCACAGCCATCTCTCACTAAGTTTAGTAACACCTGTGTATGTTTTACCCCCACAGAACAATGTCAGTAAAAGCTTTGAGATAGCTTAACTTTCCCACATAATTTCCAGTTTCGGCATAAACATCTCTTACTCATCCGAGGAACTTAAGCCCAAGTAATCATCTGTAGCACAGCTTTATCTCTCTTTCTCAATGTCACATATTATCAACTATCTAACAAGATCTTACCTTGCTACCTAAAAGGCAGATACTTCAAACTTAACATGTATTAGACAAATAAATTCCCATGTTTTCCCCCAAAAGTATTCTTCACCAAGTTATTTACTATTCTCAGGTAACGGGAGCTCAATCCTTTCAATGTCTCAGACCACAAATGTGGTCCCTGCCTATTTTCACAACTCCAAACAAATCTGAAACACTTAGTATGAACGACCAATGGTACTTCCAGAACGCGTCTAGTGTGCAGTATTTCAGTTTGCTTGCATGGCAAGTAGTCTTGTTAGTCAGTCTCCCAGATTGTTGTCATTTTGGCTGGACATCTACTATGATCAGATCTCACTACAGCCTATTTTCCAAACAGTAGCCAGTGTAATTTTTTACAGGTGCCAGATCAGGTAATATCATTCCTCTGATTAAAATCCCCCATGGCTCACTTCATGAGGAACAAACCCAAACAAAGCCCATTGGAGAGGTTTCTCTTCAACCCTCTCATTGGCTTTATTCCTGCAACTTCTATGCTCTCATCTTCCTGGAGCACACCAACTGTGCTCCCAGCAAGGGCCTTCTCCCTGGCACTTCCTCAAGCGGGAAGGCTCCTCCTTAGATATCAACGTGGTTTCTTCTGTAGCACCTTTAAGTTGTTGCTCAAATGTTGCCTTCTTAATAATGCAATGACCTATTCTGACCATTGTTTTAAAAATTCTAAGCACCTGTCAGCCACTCCTCAATAGTGTTACATAGGATCTCATACTCTCAATTTACGTTCCTGTCTCATCTATTAAAAATGGGAATCCTGTCAGGGCAGGGACTTAGTTTTCACTTATGTATCTCTAACTCCTAAGGTTCCTAGAACAGTACAGGCCTCATGACTGCACTCAATAAACATCTAATAAACACTTAAATATGAATGAAACCATTTCTAAAAATAATTTCTTTCAATTTTTTTTTGGAGGTTGTGGGGCTTGAACTCTGGGCCTGAGTGCTGTCCCTCAGCTCTTCAGCTCAAGGCTAGTGCTCCTACCACTTGAGCTACAGCACCACTTCCGATTTTCTGGTGGTTTTATTGGAGATAAGAATTTCACGGACTTTCCTGCCCAGGCTGGCTTTGAACCATGATCCTCAGACCTCAGCCTCCTGAGTAGCTAGGATTACAGGGTGAGCCACCGGCACTCGGCTTAAAAATGTTTCGAGAAAGCTCACTGATATAACTTATTATCAATTTGACTTTTCAGAAAAACAAATCTAAACAAAACTATTATCAAAACAGAGATCATTTATTCAGCACAATACTATAACTAACAAAACCTTTTTGTTAGAGCTGGTACTGGGGCTCAAACTTAGCTTTTTTGCTCAAGGCTAATTAATGCTCTACCACCTGAGCCACAGCTCCTGCCTGAGCTGGCTTTGATACACAAGCCTCAGATCTCAGCCTCCTGAATAGGATTACAGGCGTGAGCCACAAGCACCCAGCAAGTAGACTTTTTTAAAAAGAAAAATTCTTTGCTTAACACTCCTGGACAAGAGCTCGTTCGAGTTTGGACATTTTCCTACAAGTTCTACACAGGAGTCAAGCAGAAATGTAAAACAACACATTTACAAAGCCCCCCATCACTGACCTGCAACATGGCAACCGGTGGAGGGAAAACCTCTGCCTGCGTTGTGACCACAGTCTCCTTTTCAACTGGAGTTGGACTCTGTGTGGTCTGGACAGTCTCTTTAACTGGTTCTGAACTTTTCACCGTTTCCCACTCTAAACAAAATATTTGAAATTGATTTCATTTGGACAAATATACCTTTTCAATTTTTCCTATGTATACATGTATCTATTTCACACCTAAATCCTTCATCTACCACAAAAATCTTGCCCAAAATTTTATTTAAGGTACACACTAAGGAGTCCTAAAGAATGACACCTAAGAAACAAACACAAGATCTTAAAATGTTTAGTCTAAAGAACACTTGGAAGAGGCATAATGGGAAACACATCTCAAAGGCTTTCTGATACAAAGGCCAACATAATTATTACATGGGAGACAAAAAAGAAAGTATGAACCCAATACATAAATGTCCTCCTGAAGTACATCTCCGAAAATCAGAGAGGATCTAAGACATCTTCCAAGTAACACTAGTAAGGCTGCCCCATGAACCTTGGCTTCATCTCCTACTAATCCTGCTCATGCTGTTTGAACTACACCGACCTCTGCATTCTGAATACAACTGTGCACTTTCTGTTCCCTCTGAATAGAAGGATCTTTCCCCAGATGGCAGGCACCCCTCCACGTACCACTTTCTCCAACAGATTCTATCCATTGAAAACACCACAATACCTAGACATCCATGCAGTGTGTGTCCCTTTCTGTTCTTCTCCTCATCTTATCAACACAGAAATCCCATTTAGCTCTTTATCTATTTCTTTCACTAGAACATAAGATATTTCTATATTACGTATTACTGGCTTTGTGGGCCATGTCCTGTTGAACAGATGGTATTACAAAAAGAAAGTCATACAAAACAGGTCAATAAATGAGTGTGGCTATTTCAACCACACTCTTTTTGCAGGATAGGATACTGGCTGGATTAGGCCTATGACTATGATTTGTCAACCTCTGTGCTCCTCGAGAGTAATTATTTTTGCTTTCTGTCCCTCTGCCATAATTCCAGTTCCTGAAATTAGGCCTCACACACCAAGAACTAAAATGTATTTTGGGGGGGGGGTGTAGTGATAAGACTGGAACAGAACTCACAGCCTCATTCAAACTAAGCACATGCTCTGCTATTAAGCTATACACCTAGCCCAAACACAACTTAAAATGTTTGAAATTTTCCTTATTAGACAGAAAACTAAAATACTCTGAAATTAATGATGAGGGCTAAGATGTAAAGAAATAAGGTATATATCACATCTCAGTTCTTTCCAGGAATCAATTATATTTTCTGTCTAAAACTGATGACCAATCACCTTTCACATGTATGAGAAGCTTTAAAAATGAGACAGATTTTAAAAAACAAGTCTGGCCGGGTGCTGGTGGCTCACGCCTGTAATCCTAGCTACTCAGGAGGCTGAGATCTGAGGATCGCGGTTCAAAGCCAGCCCAAGCAGGAGAGACCGTGAGACTCCTATCTCCAATAAAACCACCAGAAAACCGGAAGTGGCACTGTAGCTCAAGTGGTAGAGTGCTCGCCTTGAGCTGAAGAGCTGAGGGACAGCGCCCAAGCCCAGAGTTCAAGCCCACGACCGACCAAAAACAAAAACAAGTCTGATAATCATCTGGCTCTGGGTATGGTGAGGGCTGTTATTACTGACTCAGCGCAGGAGTCTGCCATTCAGCTCCATGTGCCGACTCTGTTCCTGCTATCTTCAACACGGACTACTTAAGACTCTCAAATTCCTCAAGTGCTCAATTCCCACATAAGCGCAAGGAGTAAATAATATAATAATAAGATGGATGGAGGCTCAATAAGCCTCCATAGTTCTACTTCTAGAGAACATCCAGGAAAAAGTTACATTTACAGACTTCTAATTCATATCCTTTTTAAAGATATATTTTGACACCTATGAAATAGAACATGTTAAACACAGGAGTAATAAACATAGAGTTGAATCCATAAAATAAACACAGTTGACACTAACCTTCAAGTCATAGTTAGCAAAGTAATGAGATGACTTTAGAGTTCTTACCAGTATTTACAGTTTCCTGATCAATCATGCCTCCTTCTGCAAAACCGTCCAAGTCATCCACTTTAACTTTTTCCCATGGTATATATGTAACTCCAAGATCTACATCCCAAAACTGTTTGTATTCAGTTTTTACACCTTTGTTTAGAGCCCAAGCAATCTATTGGGAAGAGGGAGGAAAGCAAAACTCAAATTTATACTGTAACAATCATGTAAAAAGTTCAAAATTATATTCAAACAAGTCAAAACAAACTTAGTTTTGCTTTTGGAATTGTTTCATGTCTTCATTAAAGACATTATTTATAAGATGAAACTTGTGTGACCACTTGTTAATTCTAAATGATACATGTACAAAAACATTCCAAATTTAGTTTGTTTTATTTTTTGTGGGTTTTTTAAGTGTGTGTGTGGAGCTTGAACTCAGGGTCTGGGCACTGTACCTGAGCATTTTTGCTCAAGGCTAGTTGTTTATCACTTTGAGCCATAGCTTCACTTCCAGCTTACTGGTGGTTAATTGGAGGTAAGAGTCTCAGAGACTTTTCCTGCCTAGGCTGGCTTCAAATCATAATCCTTAGATCTCAGCCTCTTAAGTATCTAGGATTACAGGCATAAACCACCAGCTAGTTAGCTAGCCCAGCTAGCTCCAAATCTCGATTTATGACAGGTATCAATGGCTCACGCATGTAATCCTTACTAGATATAAAGAGGTTGATATCTGAGGACTATGGTTTGAAGTCATCCCAGGCAGATTAGGCCTTAAGAATCTTAGCAAACAAGAGAATGAGGCGCTGACTTCAAGTTCCAGTAGTGGCACCCCAGGAAGGGGGATTTACACGAGCAATACTCAGGACAGCTGTTACAACCATAAAACTCTATATACCAGGAAAAATGAGATAAGCAACGCTTAAGTTTACACAAAGCAACTGTGAGAGATATTTTCTTTGACGTGAAAAAACAGAGATGGGGATGCACTAACTTTCTCAAATTTTGTTCGAAGTTTAAACCAATGGAATAAACTCCATCTAAAGAGCAAAAATCAAATTGTGCATCAACCATGGGAAGTAACAGAAAATAATTTATGTTCAAGTAAGCTTTTAAATTAGTCTCCTCACAAAGCCTGACTTCTGTGAAAAAAGATGTACAAAAGAAGTAACTAACATTAATAGGAAATGTAGTTAGAAGTCTGGGGAGGAGAAAGTAAATAAAAGACTAATGTGTAAATATGAAAAAATTCTACTAATAAAATGGTTTTGTACCAGTGTGATTTCTGGAACAATTTGATTAAAGTTTTGGCTACTGGGATTATTAAACTTATATCTGATTCTGTAAGTCAATAATCCTGAAGTTTCTGATAAAGTTTGTCCAAAATGCTAAAAAAAAAAAAAAAGATGAGGCTCAGGTTACAACTCAGTGGTACAGCATGTGCTCAGCATGCTCAATCAGTTCCCAGCACCAAAAAAAAAAAAAAGAAAAATCTAATAATCCAATAAAATAAGAGCATGTGACCATTTCCTGTGAAAAGTATAGACTTTAATGTAAGAGACATTCAAACATTGGCCACTTGAACAACCCAACACCCCCCTCCCCCCCTGCATAATCTTACCTTAATGACCTTGGAACCAATTTTATAGGACCCTGAACTCAGTTTCTGAAGAGCTCGAAAAGCATCTTGCCGATGAACCATACAGACGTAAGCACAGCCCCTGGGAGGAATCATCTATTTAAAAAAATATTTTTTTTTTAGAAACAGCATAAGGTTGGAAACTCATTCTAGCATTTTGTGGTTTTAGAAAAACGGTAAGTTTTGACTACAGACTGTTTCAATTCAGTTTTGGCAAACTATGGAACATATTTCCCCTTTCTTCATTTATACACAAATTAAAACTTGATTTTAATTTGACTCCATCCTAAGCCATGATTTATACAAATCTTGAGTACCAAACATAAAAAATTTCTTGAATACTGAAGAACAATAAAAACAAAAGAATGTATGGTCCATATACAAAACACCACCAAGTACAAGAGAAGTAATATTGTATATTTTATGGCAAATAACTTATTCCTAGCAGTATTTTCAATTTTTTCCAAATGATGAGCTGAGTAGTGTGTGGAGGGTTTTTGTTTTAGGGAAATATCATAGCTTTAATATAAAATATATAGTTGACAGTATGATAAAGATAAATGTTTTATAAAAATTTACTTGTTCAAGTGTTTATGCATAAAGGTTTTAACATGAACAGGAAAATATTCTCAGTGCTAGGATATCTGAAGTAAGCTTATTTACGAAGCATTTGAATCATTCTATAAAATACTAGATCATCCAATTATCCTGAATGAATTAATTCAGAAAACTGTACAGTTTTGTTTTTGAGAAATTCAAAAGATAGTCTTAGGGAATGGGTTATGTATCACGTAACTTCTGACTTCTTGGAATTTGCCACTGTGACTGCTATGGCTCAAAATCCCCTGTGGACTCGGCTACTTTGATAGAATTTAAAGGTACCATCTACTAGTTTAAAGGTAGGGGAAAATCGAATCTGAAAACATTCCAAAAGGTTCTAACATGATGAACTATGACTGATGATTTCTGAAAGTTGGCTATGCTCAGACAAGTAAAAATTTAAAATCCCAAGCTGAAGTTCCCAATTAATTATCTCTTGTTTATCTGTGTAATCAAGCAAGTCAGTGTCCTCACTGTAAAATGGTAATATCTGATTTACTTAACCAGCTTCTTAGAGGATCCAATGAGATCACACACACTTGGAAAAATTCCAAATGGTCAAATGCAATTCAAATGAAGAGTGCTCTAAGATAAAAAAGCCACGTTTGGTCACATACAGAGTATTAGGAATTCAGACTGAAAAAGAAAACTGTTTTTAGGTAATTTGTAATAAAAGGTCCAACACATGTAAAAGTGCAACTGTACTAATAAAATCAGAAGTTGAAATGAGTTACAAAGTCTCATCAAAGGACCAAAATTTACATAATAGAAGAGAGACAGAAGGGATAAAAGCAACTAAAATGGCTAATTAAGGTGTCTAACTTCCAAGAAAAAAAACAAAACAAAACAAAACAGGTCCCTGAAAGAAATATCTAAAGGAGATGGGCTGGTGCACAAAGAGTGAAAAAAATCAAGTGGAAGAAACAGTTATGCTCAAGTTAGGTACAATTCCCTGGCCATGTTGCTTTTCTTGATCAATACTTTGCTTCATTTCATAAGAAAGCAAAAGAAGGGAGAAGGAGAACGAGAGCAAAGAGAACAAAAAAATCGTACATGGGAAACTGGGGTCCCAGGCACTCGGTCTCTACTACTACTAAAGTGCGTATGTGTAGGTAACTACAATTCAGTGTAAATCATTTCCTTATTTTTTTTTAAAGAAATTTAACCACCACAGGTTAAGTTTGCTGCTAACTCAAGCAGTTGATGTTTTTATGGATTCAAGTACTATATGTCTACAAATCTGGTATCAATATTTTGTAAGAATTGCACTAAAAAGGAAAGACAACTTAGGGAAATAAGCAGGTTCAGAGTAAACACAAAAATGATCAAAGTAAACAATTCCTGTGGAGATGCTCATTATAAAGCTAGATGCTACAGGCTTAACTAGGAATTGAAGTGATTACAAGTGAAAATTACCTATTTTTTAACCTTAAATTCCTTTTAAGTGATACTTACATTAATAGATTCAATTTGTCCAAACTCTTCAAAAAGGTTGGTTAAATCTTGTTGTGTTGCCTTCTTGTCCACCTGACCAACCCAGAGAGTAGTACTACATACTGTCAAGAAATAAGAGACAAACAACCTAAGTCACAGACAGGGTCTCTTCTTTCAAGCTCAAAATAAAACAATTCTAGCAAAAAGGTACTACTGCAGATAACAGATACTTGTTAAGGGATACATAAGAGTTATACGTAAGAGTCAACTTCTACCACATCTTTTGTTCTTGTGCTCTGCAACACAGGGTGGGTCCACCTGAGAATGCTGGGATGGGGTGTGCCACACTGGGAATGGAGGGTGCCTACTGTCAAACTAAAACGTCTCCATCTTGTAACCAATCACCATTGTGTACTGATATTTTCAGGAATTACTTGCTTCTTGATTCCAATTACATAATGTGACCAACCAGCCATCCAGTTGTGTCTGTCATCTTCTTGACTCTTTTGTCAATGGAGTTAAACAGACCCCCGGCTTGAATGGGAACTTTCCACCAACTTTACCAACCTCCTCCACCTGCAGCCATCAGCAGCCCCATTCCCAGTGATGATGACATAAAACTGTGCACCTATGCCTTCAAAAACATGACCTCCCCCAAATAGGAACTCTTCACAGAGTGCTATCTAACTTCCCTGTATTACTTCATCACCCTGATAACCAGTTGTGGGAAAAAAAAAATTGTGAGCCTGACTCCTTAGCAACAAGGAGAGAGGACATCACCACTCCTTGGGTTAGGACAAAAACCCGAGCAGACCATCGCCTGGTGCGCCTGCCTAGCTATGAGGAGAGTGGCAGAGCATTCTTCAGCACAGAAGAAAAATGCCTCAATGAAACCTCCTGTCTCTCTCCTGTGTCTGTTTATTTTCTGACAGTGAAGGGTGGCTGTATGTCTATACCATCTAGGAGGAGCATGAAGGATGGTAGGCCCCCTTTGTACTCTAGGGGATGAGGACAGGGATGGGGTTTGACACAGGGAAATGAAGTCCCCAACATGATTCTGAAACACAACAAAGTCTCAAAATCACTCTCAATGCAAGACTACCTGTGAACCTTTTAAAACACCTTTCAGTGTAGGTGCTCCCCAATCAAGATAAATTTGAAAATTATACTACCTCCTATGTCACCTTTAGGGAAATAAGACTGTGCAGAAACTAGAGGAGATGAGTGAACTAGAACACTTCCATTTGTTATCATCAAAGACTTGAAGATATGTGAGTATTGAAAGCCTCTTCTTTTTAATTAACAAATACTGACCATGAGATCCTGGTAAACCCTTAGCAGCTATGCTGTTCATGTTTTCTTGAAAAACTCCCCTTATAGAAGAAATATTTTAAAATTTCAGGCAACACTTTTGTATCAACGTAATGTACTATATTTGGATTTATGACAATGTCATAATTTTCAAAAATTTCCCAGCATTCTGATCTTGACAGAGCAAGCCTACAGCAGGCTTTAGGGATAATTTAACTTGACAATGAAGTATAGTCCTTGGAAAGATCCCTACCAGATGTCTCTACTCTAGCTGGTCAGAACTCAAACATCTTCCAGACCTGTGTAAGCTTTAGGAATCATTTATATAATGCACAGACTCTTGTAAGTGATCTTTTCCTGCTAGCTGTGCTTTGTTTCATGCAATCTACTCTGCACACATGTAATATTCAACACGTCTCAATTTACCTCAAGATCCTTGATTTTTTAAAAAAATAACTTAAGATTCTGACCAACACACCATCTAATGAAGCTGCTTTACAAGTTCCACAGATTTGGATGTAAACAGCTTGAAAGGCAGGGAGATTACTCGATTTACCAAAAAGCCCTAGATAAATTTCTGGAGCTCTTTGACTACTTCCTTACTCATTTCCCTGCCATACATTTTCCAGCTGCCATACCTCTTAACACTGTTTCACAATCCCTATGTCTTTCACTGTTATTGCTCTATACTTTTATTTTTCTTCTAAGAAACAATAATTATTTATCTCCATCCATACAGAGGGATCAGGGATCACCTGATTCCTAGAGTGTTACTTTGATGCTTTATAACCCCTGGACTGTTCATGAAAACTTTCTGTCTCCCCTTTTCGTGTTAGTATGAAGGCTTGAATTCAGGGCATTTAGATCTTGCTCAGCTTTATTGCTCACGGTTGATACTCTACCACTTAAATCATAATTCCAATTCATCATTTGGCTAGTTAATTAGAAGTGGACTTAATTGGAGTCTTTTCTGCCCAGAGCTGGCTTCAAACCATAATCTTCTGATCTTAGCCTGAGTAACTGTGATTACAGGCATGACCATGAAAACCCAGCTAAACTTTGTTCGTAAATACATGTGAAAGAATAATAGTGGGCAATAGTTCCTCACAAAATGAAACAAGTGTTGAGAGAATATTGACCACAGTACACTACTACTGCTCAGAGAGAAGAGGTAAACTAAGGGAGATTTGGACTTCTCTGGATTTGCTATATGCTTAGATAAAAAACGAGTAAGTCCTGGAGTTCAAAAGCAGAGTGACTACATTTAGCAAAAATTAACTGTATTTCAAAACAAAAGAAAGGATTCTGAACATTCTCAACAAAAGTGAAAATTATTTGAGGTGCTGGATATGTCTGATCATCACACATATGTGAATGGAAGTATCAGATTATACTCCCAATAAAATAATAAGTGCTAAAAACAGATTCACTGGTCAATAAACACATAGTGACAACAACAAAATGAAGAACTAAATAAAACAGTTTCCACATAAAAATTCTACCTAATATTAGCAAATAAAGCTAATAGTTATGAATGTCCTAGTGGCAATCCCGTGAAGAAGTTTAATAGAGGTTTCATGGCCACAGGCTGGATATTATTCATCAGCCAACATTAAAATAGTTGCATCTAGTCCTTTACCATAAAGGACCACAGAACCTTTAGAAGTTAGAAATACAAATACTATTAACACTAGCTCTCAATACCAGGTAAGATTCTGGAAAGATAACCATGGCCAACTCAAATTGCCAAAACTTACTAAGCAGATGGCTGTTGCCTTTGATTTTAGGCCTGGGTTTCCAAGATGCTCTAGCAGCGTAAATTACACCAATTATTCACTTTTCTTGCAGACAGAAGGAATTTATTGAGACCTTCAGAAATAGGTAAAATGACCAATGTTTAGCTCTTGGCAAAAAAAAAAAAATTACAATTGTTACATATTACGTACTTTTGTATCTGGAGTATGTTAGCTCACCTTAGAAATTGTAGCTCATTAAGAATGGGCCAGAATTTGGAGAAACGCAAACTTACTTTGTTGTACTTAACACAAACACCCTCCCTGCTCCCCTAGTCTACTACAAAACAAACCCACAATAATATCAGCTATTCTAATTATATATAATAGACTAACATACAAAGACTGAAAAGGTTTGTGCAACAGGAACTGCTCTTCTACTACTAAGCCATAATTTATCATTTGCATAAAAAATTATAGTAAAATTGGGCTAAGAATGGAGCTCAGGTACAGAGTACCTGAGTTCAGTTTCCAGCACTGAGAAAACAAAGTATATACTCTGTACGGTAATTACTCCTATCCCTCACTGTTCACCACTGGTTAGCAAAGTCAAGGTGTCATGCTACAGATATCAACTTGGTGTGTGTCAGGATCATTAGCAGTCATTTTCTAATCTGCATTAAAAAAAAATTCAACTCTCGATGACCTTAGCATTTGAGTATAATCTGTCTTCCTTTTACTTCTCAAATAAATTACAAAATTTTGGGATGAAATTACTTATATAGCAGGCCCCTTCTTAATTCTTAAGCCTCAAATTAAATTTGGTTTAGAGATTTTGTACCAGGAAACTAGTTTGTAATACTTGTGTGTTACTCACCACTTAATGTTTTAGATCTAATTGGAGGTAATCCCTTTTTCTGCCGTTCTTTTTCTCTTTCTCTGGCTCTCCTTTCACTTGAGTAGGAACGTGATGACTTCCTCTTCCTTTCTCTGGAGCGGGAGCGTGATCGTTTTCTGTGCTTACGCTTTCGAGAACCAGATCGTGACCTGGACCTTCGTTTTCTTGGTGATCTAAAACAAAACAAAACCGTAACTATAAAACTTCACTTCTACTGACAGCATTACCTTTCTGTCAAATCTTCACATTTTAAGTGAGGAGTGGGGAAGAAAGACTATCTTATATTTAGCTGTCTCTTAGAATGTTTTATTGGATCATCCATTATCAAACATGCATTCTAACTAAATTTTTGTCCTATGGAGGTTCAACGGTGACCACAAATATGTGTCTAGTGATTCTGAATCTAGGTGATTATTCACAACGAGAGGAAGAGAAGGGCTAGATTCAAGAAAGGCCTTCACTGATTCTTAAGACTCTTCTGTTCACTGTCCAACAGGCATTTAGAACTATACTTATGACAAAAATAGTACATTCTTGCCAGCCCAGACAGGGAAATCCATGAGATTCTTCATCTCCAACTAACCACCAGAAAACTGGAAGTGGAGCTGTGGCTCAAAGTGACAGAACACTAGCCTTGAGCAGAAAAGCTCAGGGACAGTGCCAGGCTCTAAGTTCAAGCCCCATGATTTACCAAAATAACAAACAAACAAAAAACAAACCAGACTGTTTCCAACAGTGCATGAGGCGATTACATAGTTACGCTTCATAGTTTTGAAGAGTCTAAAATTTTCTGGTTCTTAAATTTACAATAGGTGACACTAAAACAGATCAACGTTTACCGTGCAGACTTCCTACAAAAGTGTGGAGTATGAAATGTTTTAGTTTTTGTTTTTCGGGTTTTTGGTCAGCGGTGGGGCCTGAACTCTGGGCCTGGGCGCTGTCCCTCAGCTCTTCAGCTCAAGGCTAGCACTCTACCACTTGAGCCACAGTGCCACTTCTGGCTTTTTCTGTTTATGTGGTGCTGAGGAATCGAACCCAGGGCCTGTGCATGTAAGGCAAGCACTCTACCACTGACCCAATTTCCCAGCCCTGGATTATAAAATGTTAAAAGGGGATGATGGTAATTTTTGTAGGGGTTTTGGGGCCATTTTTTATAGCATTATGAAATAAAATGGAATGCAAAAAATACAGCTGATTTAACTGTATACAGTCAGGGGCATTTATACTCCTACTAGGTGACATTTTAGCATCAACAAAAATCCAGTGTAATCCAAAACCCCCTAGGCTATTACTCCAATATGTGGCAGGCAGACATGTGAACAAGCTTCTCTTGTTTCCAATTTACAATTACCTTATTCTTAGGATAGTAAATATTATTTCAAGAAAAGCATTTTTCATTTTGATACAAACAAATAAAGCCAACATAGCTACTGTTAAATATGAATGTAGAACCTTGAGCGAGATCTCGAGTGAGTTCTTGATCTTGAGCGAACGGCTACTTTCTTAGCTTCTTGTTCAAAGATCTCCTCTTCCACTGCATCTTGCCCTTCATCTATATCCATATCCTAGAAAGGCAAACAAACCGTGCTTAGATAGTTACATCTTGACCATTCTGCCCATTTGAGGGGTGGGGTGTAGTACTGAGGTTGAACTCCATTCTGGCTCATGCTCAGCTTGCTTACTTAGTGCTATCCACTTGAGCCATACTACAGCCAGCATTGTTGCATTAATATTCAATAGGTAAAACAGGGTGTAGAGTTTAAGGAAAAATATATTCAGACATTACCATTAAACAATATTTCCTTAAATAATTTTAGAAATTTATAACTCACAAAAATACTTTTACCTGCTGCTGAATATCTATGGAATCATCCAAATTTGCTTCAGGTTCAAGGAAATGTTGCTGGCTGCTTCCTTGTGATGGTGATGCTGAATGCTCTGACCCAAATGTTCCTTCTTGACTATCCTGGGGAGTTGCCTATTGGAAACAAAAATAGCACACAACAATTACATTACAAATGAAAACTTAAATATGGTAAACATACAATTAAAATGCTAAATTATAAAGTAATCAATCTAAAATCACAGTTTTACATAAATTAAACTTTACTTAAAAAGCAAGAGAAAACCAAAGAAGGGAATGTAATTTTTGAGTAGAATGAAAATGGAAAGTACAAACCACAGAGATTCAGACAAAGGGTTATACAATGAATGATGCTAATGGCAGTAAATTATATGAATCTAGAATTTCACCAGTAAGTAGCACTGACAAAATAGTAAAAATGAAATATCTGTAGTAAAAAAGTATAATAAAATATAAATACATATATGTAAATTGCAATAAAATTTTATTTAGCAAAACCATTCTTACCTTCCTTCTACTTTACTAAGAGTAAAAAGTACTTATAGACATATAAAACACTTCAAAAGTTCTAAAAAAAAAGTTAAGTAAAAAGACCTAATTATTGGAACAAATAAATTATGCTTCTTCTCTCTGGCACAAGAATTACCATAAGTTGATACAATGATAATATAATGCTTATTTGATGCTTATCCCTAGTATTTTTTTTGAAACTTAAAAAAAGAGGGATTAGGTTATTATTAGGGGAAATGATTTGGTAGAAAAAGTGTAAGACAGGATATGTGGATATCCAGGACCCACACACAGCAGTTCCTGGTGGTACAGACTAAATAATACTATGGTAACAGTCACAACTGTGTTCACAAACAATCTGCTTAACTCTGAGTTTCAATCTAAACGGAATCGAAGTGCCTATCCGTAGTTGAGAACTGCAAAAGCAATGAAGAAAACAGCAACACAAGAAAACATTCTATCAAAAGCAGAAAATGTACATGACCAGCGTTAGTTTAGGGAGAGGAAAAACGGTTCTAATGAGATTTAAGACTTTACAGGACTAAAGAAACCACAGGAGGGTAAACATTATCAATGAACTTAGTCCTATTGTAGAAAGGTCCAACTGCACCTTAAGACTTTAGTTCTAGTCTTAGAAACTACTAATATCAAAAAACAAGAAACAGACTTGGTCAGATATATTTAAGTTGCATCATCTCAATAAATAAATAAATAAACCAAACCCCAGTGGAGAATTTCAAACACACATTCAGCAACAGTACAACTAAAAGTGTCAAGAGTTCTTTTATGTAGTGTTCTAGACTGAGGAAGCTCTAAATTAAATAGCCTTAGTATATGTGATTTTCTTTTTGTTTTTGGATGTCCATCATGGGGCTTGGAACTCAGGTCCTGAGTGCTGCCCCTGAGATTTTTTTGCTTAAGGCTAGCGCTCTACCAACTTGAACTATAGCTCCACTTTTGGCTTTTTTTGCTGGTTAACTGGATATAAGAGTCTCCTAGACTTTCCTGCCTGGGCTGGCTTCAAACTGCCATCCTCAGCTCTTAGCCTCTTGAGTCCCAGCCTTGAGCTTAACCCACAGGACTGGCAAAACAAAACTAAAGCAAAACAAAAAAACACAACAAAACAGAATTTAATAAAGTGAAATGTTTTTAGTTTCAATAAATTCATTACCAAAATACTGTATTGTATTTCAAGATAAAAAAATCATTTTTGTAGTCTGCTGTTATTCTTCTTTCAATAGTTGAAAATTCAGATTTTTAACTTTCAGCCTATAATGGCAAAAGAAAGAAAACTGACAGGAAATCCACTACACAGTAATTTTATTTTTGCCTGCCCTGGTACTGGAACTCAGAGCCTGGGCCCTGTCTCTGAGCTTCTGCTCAAGACTAGCACTTTACCATGTGAGCCACAGTGCTACTTCCAGCTTTTTCTGTGTATGTGGTACTGAGGAATCGAACCCAGGGCTTTATGCAAGCTAGGCAAGCATTCTACCACTAAGCCACATTCCCAACCCTATACTAATTTTAAAAAGCAGAAGAGGAATGCAAAGTAGTACAATCCAAATCTAATGATGATGATGATGAGCTCTATTTTCTGCATTAGATGTTTAGTCTATGCTTAAACTTTTGAGTCTGAAGATAAGATAAAGGAGTCTTAATGCCTTGCTCATGTGAACTAACAATTTTGCCTCAGACATTTAATAAAGTTCTGTCAAATGGTAACACAGCAATTACATTCTTTTAAACTAAAGAACAGTCTGTTTTGTGACTATCATCACTACACAACTGTCAGTGCCTGGAAAGACAAGAGAATGGTGAAGAAGATACATCAGTCAAAAGAGTTTAGTGGTAATTCTGCAACTCCACCTCTACTTCCTGTTTTTGTCCTTTCTAGCCATTGTAGAAATCAACTTCCATAACATGGATTCCCTAAGTTGCCAGAACACATTCTGATTACAGAAAAAGTTATACAGCTCTTGAATAATACTAACCTTCCTAAGAATAAAGAGATAAAGATATATCACTATACAATAGGGAGTGAATAAAGTGGCTGATAAAAACTCTAAATAGATGAGAACATATTAAGCCCCCCAAAACCAACCACCCCACAGAATTATTTTTCAGACCACAGAGACAATCCAAGACCACAGGATGGGCTACAGACCTTCTGAGGCTGCTGCTCCAGGAGCTGCTGTCTGAGATGTTCAATGTTTTGCTGTTGCAGCTGCTCTGCAATCTGATGAAAAATGGAATTGTTCACAGACTCTGAAACGTGAGAACTAAAAAGAAAAACACAAGTATTTTAAGACATACTAAAGATAATAATGAAGATAACTACCTAATGAAAACAAAAAATGCCAACTTAATACAGCATATTCTATTACAATGCCTTGCTTTCGAAATACTGACATTCAAAACAATACATCACATTAATACATTAAGAGTGAAATATACTCAACAGTGTTTGGACAGACAATGCTGTATGCTCTGTGGGAGATCTGATATTACTGTCTCTTATTAAATTCATTTAATAATTTTCATTGGAGCATTTTAAGCAAAATCTCAATAAAACACAAAACTATTTATACACTTAACTCCTTTTCTATTTAATAACACAGTGGGGAAATGGGCTACCAATCAATACATGTACAATCTATAATTATAACTGACCTTACACTTTATGAAATTAACATGCTTCCCTTATAAAAGCATATGCATTATTAAGGATGTTAACAGAAGCAGACAGCAAAGAAACAGTGATTTAACTATACTCTGGGAAATTCACACCTGGAGTACACCTGGAATTCTGGGTGCCATAGGGTAAGACATGAACAAAAAAGAGGGCATCCCAAAAGGGGCAAGCAGGATGGTGAGAAGTCTTGGAACGGTGGGGAATAGTGTACTTCATCTGGAGCAAATAAACCTATGGGGAAGAATGATACCTATCTTCAAATACTGAAAAGCTACGTCCCAAAAGATAATGGAGTAAATTTGTTCCCTTGCTTCAGAAAGCAAAGTTTCAATTCTTGTTTCAGAAGGATACATAAAGGAGACTCTTAGATTGTTTTAAGTCACTCATCTACATATCTTCAAATATCCCTTCCCACTTTGTTATCTAAAGTACTAGATTTTAATTGTGGTAAGGAAAATCTCTTTAATGAAAAGTATTTCACACATTGTAGTGACATATCTTTATTGATGACCATAATTTATAAAGCTCATAACCTGTCTGAAGTAAGTCCTAGAGGCTTCCTCCCTCATTCTTCTCCCACCTGCCATTTCCCGTCTCCCACAGCCATCCTCCTACTCATCTTCCCATGTGTCCTCACAGAACCAAGGGCTCTGCAGACTACTGTTTCTTTCAATAAAGCACAGGCTGTGTCTAAGCCCAATTTTCCTTCTCCACAGTCTTACAGCGTGTAAGACTGTGTCTGGGTCTCCCAGAGCTCCTATTCTCACACTGCAGATATTCTTACAACTAGCTAAGTAAAAGAAAAACAGAACTGTGCTACACTTACCAATATTTATCAATTTTCCTAGGAAACTTTGATATATCCCAACTATTTGCAAAGATCTGAAAAACAGTCCAAATAATCTAGGGAGGCAGTAAGAGAACAACGCTTGCATCTTCTGCAATGTTAAGAGTAACAACCCCAACTCAGTCCAAGCATACTTGTAGGTCAGAGGGAAACTACCCAATATGTATAAAACATGAACAGAAGAAAGTGTTGTCATAAAGAAAATAAAGAGAATTCTTACAGTTGAGGAGTTGGGATATCCTTTTTGGGTTCTTCGCTATGCTCAGAGTCTTCCCCAAAATCAAATCTATCCATCAACTTCTAGGGAATGGGAAAAAGGAGACACATTAAATTAAGTTGCACTTCACACAAATACAAGTTACAAACGCTGGTTTGTCTGTAGCTTTAACTACTATGTTGTCAACAGAATACAGCATTTTAGAAGACCTTTAGTTTTTTTTAAAACACCTGCACACATATAATATGCATTCTCCCTGAGAGTTCTGCTTTCTGCAGCTACACCTATCTAGCAAATGTAGTAGGAAAATACTCCTACGCTTTCTTTCAAGAGATAACAAATGCAGATTTTATATGTTGTTATGATTATTCTATTTGATTAGTTTTTTACTGGGCCTAATTTGTAAATTAGACTTCACTGTTACGTATGTATAATAAAATCAGTCTATGTCCCTATGAGTGTACACAGTGCCAATCCATACTGACATGTTACTCTGGGCTGTCAGCACCCACAGGATGTCGTACGATGTGGAGAAGACTACTACTTCATCACCTTATATAACAAAACAAATTCTGACACAGGACATACAAACACCAAAAGTCCAGTTTTCCAGAAGTGAAGCTTACAGATTAAAATAACTAAGAGGTCTGCCCTTGGTAATATAGCTGATTAAAAAAAAACAAACCTAGGATCATAATCAATGTATCCATTCCTACCAAGATTCTCACCTTAAAGTGCTATCTCTTTTGAATATTCAGCACTAATAGAACAAATCAGGATTTGCTTTCCTATACAAATAATAGCAAAACTTTTAAAAAAGATACCACTGCCAAAGTATAGTATTTCCCTAATGAGCAAGCGTACTTAAGATGCAGCATAATAAATTCAAAAGGATACTCAATTTTAAAAATAGTATCTTATGCCAGGCACTGGTGGCTCACGCCTATAAATCCTAGCTACTCAGGAGACTGAGATCTGAGGTCTGCAGTTCAAAGCTGGCCCAGCCAGGAAAGTCCATGAGATTCTTTTTTTTTTTTGCCAGTCATGGAGCCTGAACTCTGGGCCTGGGCGCTGTCCCTCAGCTCTTCAGCTCAAGGCTAGCGCTCTACCACTTGAGCCACAGCACAACTTCTGGCTTTTTTTGCTTATGTGGTGCTGAGGAATCGAACCCAGGGCCTCATGTATTCAAGGCAAGCACTCTACCACTGAGCCATCTTCCCAGCCCCTCCATGAGATTCTTAAAACCACAAGTAGAATTGTGGCTCAACATTGTAGAGTACTTGTTGTACAGTGCCCAGGACCTGAGTTCAAGCCCTATGACAAAAAACAAAAAACAAAAACCAGTAACAACAACAACCCCACTATCTTAGGCCAAAACTTATATATATAGCACAGTTTCAATTTTTAGAGAAGTTTTCCTTTGAACTTAAACATATTATAATTTTAAAAGATTAAAATTACAAAATATAGATACATCACAATTAATATAACTAAGCATCAATAGAAGGAGTAAGAAAACTTGAAAAACAATCACTTGCCTCAATTAAGAATAAACTGACCACTTATCTTTACAAAAGCAAGGATTTTAAATGCTTCAAAGGGAGTTTTAGGGCTGGGAAGGTGGCTCAGTGGTAGAGCGCTTGCCTTGCATGCATGAGGGCCTGGGTTCGATTCCTCAGCACCACATAAGCAAAAAGAAAAAAAAAAGCCGGAAGTGGCGCTGTGGCTCAAGTTGTAGAGTGCTAGCCTTGAGCTGAAGAGCTGAGGGACAGTGCCCAGGCCCAGAGTTCAGGCCCCACGACTGGAACACCCCCCCCAAAAAAAGGGATTTTTAACATGTTTATTTATCACGATGTACAGAGAAGTTACAGTTATATAAGTAAGCTAATGAGTAGATTACTGTTTTGGTTTTTGTCAGTTGTGGGGCTTGAACTCTGGGCCTGGGCACTGTCCCTCAGCTCTTCAGCTCACGGTAAGTGCTCTATCTCTTGAGCCACAGTGCCACTTCCTACATTTCTTTTTTTTGGTGCTGAGGAATCAAACCAGGGCCTCATGCATGCAAGGCAAGCGCGCTACCACTGAGCCACCTTCCCAGCCCCCTACATTTCTTTTTAAACAGTTTTACCCCCTCCCTCATCTTCTCCCATTCTTCTTGACTCCCCCTGTCCCCAAGCAAAAGGAAATTTTAAATTAATTTCTTTCAGAAGCTTGAGCCCTTTATAAAATGTAGAATGCCTTACACAAAAGCGTATATTAGAAGAGTCCATGAACAGGTGTGATGGCACACACCTACAATCTGAGCATTAGAAGGCTGAGGCAAATGGCTCAAAGCTAGCCTGAGGTAACATGATTCAAAAACACTAAAATTAAAGTAAGTGTGTGAGCTGAGTACTGATGTCCACCTTGTAATCCCAGCACTGAGGAAGCAGAGGCAGGGGGATCTCAAGTGGAGAGGACAGCAAGTTCTAGGCTACACGAAGCAATGTAGCAAGATCTTGTCTCAAACAAAACAACAAAAATAGCTTATGACAAAATATAATTTATAGGATTAGAATCCCCATGTTACTGCGAAACACTGAACATTTTCCATTGTTACCTTATTAAAAGAGACTCCTTGATCCAACGGGGTCAGAGTGCTGGCCGCTGCAGCTGCAGCTGTGAGCTGTGCAGTGAGGGCCTGCAACTGAACCACAAGTCCCGCATCCAATGCCTGCAGGATGGAGGGCTGAGGTTTCTGCTGCTGTATCTGTAAGGTCTGTATTAACTGCTGAAGCTGCAGAGGAAAAATAATTACAAAACAGGGTTGGGTTTTATTCCTAAGAGTACCTGTCTAAAAAATTTAGTAAATAAACTTACTCCTACTATGTACAGTCTTTTGTGATCATGAAAGTCTTTCTTTGTAAATTTATATAACGCAGTCCTTATTAGCTCTGTTCTTCTTTGGGCAGTCAAAAAATTTTAAGCTAAACAATCAGGCAATAAAGCACACATAAACAAATCCTCATAAGTTGACCAGTGCTGTTCACTGAGCTTCCTGCAATGAACACCACTAACAGAACCAGCTTTGTCCCTACATATTTACCACCAGAGAACACACATCCCCAGGGCAGGAGACTCACTGATTAATCTATTCTCGTGTTGCGCAAGTGAGGCGAAGGAAACCAGTTATGAATGATGAACAGTTGAACGGTATCAACAAGAGTTAAGGCGAGATTTGTTTCCACTATCCACCACTCTTGTTTGAAAAAAAATGCAACAGTAATATTTCATAAGCAAGAAAGTCCTACATAATTACATCCGAAGTAAGTAATAATCAAGCTATAAACCTGTACAAGGCACACTTGTACAGCTGGATAGGAAGAATAATTTCTGATATTCTACCACACAGTAGGGTCACTATGGTTGACAAAAATTAACTGAATACTTCAAAATAGCTAGGAAGGAGGGTTTTGAATATTCCTACCAGAAAGAAATGATAATGTGTTTGATATGATCATCACATATTATATATAGTGAAATGTTACACTATATTCTAAACACAGATTATGTGCCAATTAAAATGAAAATTTACATAATTATTTTAGAAGTTTTAAACCTGAGTTACATCTAATAATTCAGTTTAGATTAGGAAAATAAAAACATCAAAACTGTGAGAGTTATAGTATATGTACTTAAGTTCAGTTTGTAGTATGAGAAGATACAAACACTGTGCAAATGACTCTAAACTAAAGTGTCCATTCTAAAACAGCAACATTAGGAAAAACTAGTTTAACTACCGAGTATTTCCTATAGAACCATTAATATATTCAAAAAGAAAAATATACCAGAGTTAATTTGCTGCACTCAGAAAGCTCCCAAAGGGCTAAGACTATAACAGGTACATAAAAGAAAACAGGTCTGGGAAGTTGGCTCAGTGGTAGAGCGCTTGCCTTGCAGGTGTGAAGCCCTGGGTTTGGAGTCCTCAGCACCACATAAATAGAAGAAGCTGGAAGTGGGCGCTGTGGCTCAAGGAGAAGAGTGCTAGCCTTGAGCTGAAGAGCTCAGGGTCAGCACCCAGGCCCAGAGTTCAGGCCCACGACTGGGGGAGGGGGGGGGATGGAGGGAAATCTTTCCCATAAAAGAAAATAATTTTCCTATCATTCTGTCAGGGAGAGAGGAAAGTAGGAAGGGAAGGAAGGATGGACAGAGACCATATTTTCTCTTTGACACACTTTAACAAACTCTCCCATTCTGACATTTCCATTTTCCCATCAGAACAGTTATCTTTCAATGCCCAAGTTAAAAATCACCAAAGCATGTGACTTTCCTGTCCAATGACCTCACATGCACTCTATTACTCTCATGCTTGCTCTCCATACTATTTCTTTGGAAAGTAACAGAAATTACTTTTTATCTTACTCTCTGTATTTGCTCTCCTTCAAAATTCCTTCTGCTCTCAAAAATATTTAGTAGACAAAATGTATAAACCAGTTCAAATCCAAAACTATATATTAATTTGGTTTTTATGTTTTTCAAAGTCTGGAGCGGTCCTATGTTAGGCTGTTTACAGCAAACATTCCATATTTACTATTTTTTACATACTCACTTTCTCTCTTCCAGGATTACTGCTAGCAAAATGACAATACTCACTGTCTTCAGATATTACTTCCTCCAACCCATTGAAGTACTATTTTATTTTATTTTTTTGGTCAGTCATGGGGCTTGAACTCTGGGCCTGGGCGCTGTCCCTCAGCTCTTCAGCTCAAGTCGAGCGCTCTACCACTTGAGCTACAGCGCCACTTCTGGTTTTCTGGTGTTTTTTTTTATTGGAAATGGGAGTCTCATGGTCTCTCCTGCCCGGGCTGGCTTTGAACCGCGATCCTCAGATCTCAGCCTCCTGAGTAGCTAGGATTACAGGCGTGAGCCACCAGCGCCCGGCTGAAGTACTATTTTAGATCACATGATTTAAACATAAAAATCTTTGTTGCTGGGAATTACAATAGCTCCCTCCTCTAATTCCAGTTACGTTAAGAGTGAAGATTGGGAGAGTGAAGAGTGGCGATCTTAGGGAAAGAGAGACTCCCCCTCCCCCACCGCGGCTAACAGCTGGGCATGGTGGTGTATGCCTGTTATCTCAGCTATACAAGAAGCATAAGTTAAAGTCACCAAGCAGACTGCCCTAGGCATAAACACAAGACCTTATTCAAAAATAACAAAGCAAAAAGGGAATAAAGGCTCAAGTGACAGAGCACCTCCTTAGCAAGCCTTGTGAGACCTAGATTTAAACCCACACTGCGACCAAAAAAAAAAATTAAAAAATAAAACAACACAACTTTGCTTAACTTTCCATTTAAGTAAACAGCATCCAAAACCTAGGTCAACTGTGTCACTAATAAGTGCCTCCACTAGATCTTTTCTGTGCCTATGCTTTTGTACATCATTCATTCCACAAAAAAATGTGTGGATATTGTCTTAGCATACACAAGTGTGTAGGGAGGGAGAGAGGAGAAACAAAAATACTGAACTAGCATAATATCTACTCCAGAAGGAAGAGACAAAGAAAAACAATACTGAAGTTGAAACCATATTATTATGTGGGAAGAGAAATATTAGGAAGAAAAATGCTGGGTCAGGATTCTAAATAGTACTATTTAAAGAACAGTAGAAAGGCCACTGTTGCTGAAACCAAATGGGGAAAGAGTGAGGATGGGAATCATGATAATAAAATGGTGAGAATGGCTCAAATGAGAAAGAAAAAGACATGTTGAGCAGGGAGTATTATTACATGAAGAACATACAAAGCTTAGTAAAGGAAGTAAAACTGTAGGAAGCACTCCTGGGCAACAAAGCCACATGACCACTTAGTTTTATAAGGGTAACTGCCTGAGATTATAGGCAAACTGCAGTGGAACAGGGTGGAGGCCCCACTAAGACTATTGCAACGAGGTACTATAGCTCACACCTGTAATCCTCTCAGGAGGCTGAGATTGAGAATCCCAGTTCAATGCTAGCCTAGGCAGACAAACATAAGAAACTCTTGTCTCCGATTAGCTAGGAATAAGCTGGAAGTGGAGGTGTGGCTCAAATTATACAGCAGCCTTGAGTGAAAAAGTGAGAGTGTGAGGTCCTGAATTCAAGCCTTAGTACCAGCAATGCATGTACACACATACATATATACATGCATGCATACACATGCAACCCTTGGGCATGCATACACACATATACATGCATACACACGCATACACACACACACACATTTTAAAAAAGGAAGAAAGACCACTGCAACACAAGTGAGAGAAGTAATGCTGGCGTATCTAGGAACTTGTGAGAAGAGGTAGTAAGAAGGGGTTTGATTCAGGAGCTGTGCCAAAGCTGAAGGATTCCTCAAAAGGTTGCTTGTAAAGAATGAGGAGAAAGAAACTCTAAACAACTCTAAGGTTTCAAATCAGCAGCAAGAACAATATTTCTACTGAGAGGCAGCTGCAGGTGAAGCAAGTTTTGTTTGAAAGACTTCATATAGCTCCTCTTTAGCACGTTTTTCTTACCTATCCTTTGAAAATCAAATTGTCACTTACACAACAGAGCTTTTCTTTCTTTCTTTTTTTTTTTTTTTGCCAGTTGTGAGGCCCGAACTCTGGGCCTGGGCACTGTCCCTCAGCTCTTCAGCTCAAGGCTAGTGCTCTACCACTTGAGCCACAGCGCCACTTCTAGCTTTTTTCTGCTTATGTGGTGCTGAGGAATCGAACCCAGGGCCTCATGCATGCAAGGCAAGCACTCTACCACTGAGCCACCTTCCTAGCCCCAACAGAGCTTTTCTTGAGCTAAGCTATTTACCATTGTCTAATGTCATTTTGTCATGTTAAAATTGTGTTTCCCCTCAGATAGAAGACTTGTCATATTACGGGGGTAGCAATACACTTAATTTTGGCACAAACTGTTAAGTGAATACTTTGGTAAAGAATGCATTTCTTATATGGTACTCTTTTTTTCTGTTTGTATGTGCCATCCTGGGGCTTGAACTCAGGATCTGGGTGCTGTCCCCAAGCTTGTGTTCCTCAGAAAATGTGATACCACTGAGCTACAGCTCCACTTTTGATTTTTTTGGTAGTTAATTATAGAGATAGGGCTGGCTTTGAACTGCAATCCTCAGATCTCAGCCTCCAGAGTAATTAGTATTATAGGTGTGAGCTACTGGTGCTCAGCTAAAACAATCTTGAACAACACAAATATGTCCGTGCTGAATTACTGAATGAAAAATGAAATTTACAAAGTAATTGTACAGTGACCTCAGTTTTATAAAAATAAGACAAAAATGCATACACTTTAGATCATATAATACATTAGGAAAATAATGAATTCTCAATCACTTTTAATATAGTAGAAAAGCTGCTCACCTGCTGGCCTTGAGGACTTTGTAAGATCTGAGCGACAGCTGCAAGTGTATCTGTATTTGCGATCTGAGATACCCAAGGGTCAGGCAGGCCCTGTACCACATTGGCCGGAGTAACAGGTGTCACAGGAGTTCCTTTTATAAATGACCCCCCCCCAATAAATATGTAAGTAAACAAGTAACTTGAAAAGATAGAGGGATCTGTCCAATTGCTTTTATAAAATATATACAGATTAATATGTTTTAATTTTAAGACTTATTTGGAAAACCATTTCAAACCCTTTTATATAATTTGGTAGATTTAAAAACAAAATACCTCCTACAAAGCCCAAAGTACCTGGCTAATAAACTAAGGTACAATAACAAAGCCTGTATTGCTAAAGAGCCATTAAAAATCTCACTTGAAAGAAAACTCCTTAATATGAGGGAAATAATCCAGAGACAATTTTTGATGAAAATCGTAACAATATTACAAAATCATTTCTACTAAAAATGTTTATATAGCCGAGCATCAGTGGCTCACTCCTGTAATCCTAGCTACTCAGGAAGCTGAGATCTGAGGATCGCAGTTTAAAGACAACCCGGGCAGCAAAGTCCTATTTCCAATAAACCACTCAGAAACCGGAAGTGGCGCTGTGGCTCAAGTGGTAGAGCGCTAGCCTTGAGCTGAAGAGCTGAGGGACAGTGCCCAGGCCCAGGGTTCAACCCCCATGAACACGAACACGAACACACACACACACACACACACACAGACACACACACACTTTATATATGTGCACATATGTATTTATGTAAAACAAAAACAAAATATATACCAAATATTAAATATTTCTTGGGACCAAGACAAATACTTTTAAATGGCATTTACATGCCACAAACAAAAAACTTTAAATTATTGTTAAAACAGTCTTGGTTTTATTAAAAATGTTTTTTCAGGGTATTTATAAAAATTAAGTCCCCCTGATTGTCTTTAAATACCAACTTGCTTTAGATAAAGAAGTAAGAGGTTACAGTCTAAATCAGAACCGTAATTGACAAGCACATGTTCTAAAGTTCATTAAATTTTCTAAACTTTAGAAACAATTACATATGAACATAATATCTGATTTTTATTTTTTCTTTGAAATGATAGCTTCTTTCAACTATTTAATGTTAGACAACTATCTAATGTCAGACATCTAATGTTACAGGTGGGTAATCAGTGGTAAAGCACAAATAAACCAATCCACTGCTAGGTAACCTTGCAGTCACATACCTGGAGTGTTGCTCATGGCTGCAGTACCGGCCAACACAGGTGTGACAACTGGGGGAGGAATCCCAGCTGCCATGTCCAAAAGGGGCTGAATGATCTCACTCTTAAATACATTGTTCTTCTGCCACAAGTTTAATACTCTCACTATTTTACTCTGTAAGAACAAAGAAAAGTGACATCTTGATTTTTTTTGCTTCAAAACCTCTGTATAGCTGAACACCAGTGGCCCATGACTGTCAAAACAAAATTCTTTCCATACAATCTTTTCATACTTGTTCTTTCTTTTCATTATTCTGCCCTCTATCTTCTCCTCTCATCCATGCCATACTGGCCCCAAATAATACACACTCTATGTAAATAATATTCTATACATTCATTCCTCTACTAACCTGAGGTTTTGCCATCCTATGAAGAAAAACAAAACAAAAGTCTCCACACCATCATGTTTTCTCCTCCTGGAGCCCTTTACTGGAGCACTGCATATAACAGATTAAGCTCTTGAATAATTACTACATGTATATCTCTATTTTTCAATTAACTTCACCCTTTTCTGGATTGCTTCAGTATTCAAAGCACTTTCGATTTTTGGTAAAGATCTAGCCAGTCATGCACCATTTATGCAGATGCCATAAAACACGTGAAATATATGCTATCTACATAACCCTTCTTATTACCTTTGGTTTTAAGCCTACTGTGTCAGTGTCAGTGAATTACAAAATGTTTTAAACCCTCACTTCCTTCATTTGTAAAATGAGACTGTGTAGTAGAAGAGTTTTCATGGTCATTCTCAAATGAACATGGCCAGGATTTCCAAGGTCTTAACTACTGTCAAATTTTGGACATCGTCAGACAGAATTATAATGAGATTTAGTTCTTATAGCAACAATACAAACAACTTCAGTGTAGTTCCTTATACCCTACATTTTCTCAAAAAAAAAAAATTCTTATAGAATTCCATTTCTTTGTGAAATTCTATTCAATTACATTGTTGCATTGTTTTCTGAGTATTATAAACTTGAAAAGATTTTTTTGCTCATCTAACTCTGAAATCTAATACAATGTTCAGCAATACTAAGAACTTGTTGACCAGAAAAAAATCCTATTTAATATCTTCCTTGGTTGTACAACAGCTTTACCAATCCTTCAAGTTTCAAGCTCCAAACTTACAGGCAGAATGTTTCAAGATGCTCTATACCAGTTCATGAGAAACATCAACTGAACAACTAGGCCTTGCTTCTTGAAATAAATATTTCACCCAAAGCATGCACTTAAGTGAGAGTAACAGTATGTTGACCCCAGTGTCACTGATAAAAGCACAATAATCTCTCCATGATATCAGTAATAAAGCAATTCACAAGTATTTAACACAAAACTTAAAAAAATAATAATGAAGTATTAAGTTACTACTATTCTGAGATCATACTTACATTAGGAAAAAGTTAACTAACAGGATATTATTCACTTTTAGAAGAACACTGGTTAGTATCTATATTAGTAAAATAGAAATTTTTAAAGAAAAAAATGGCTCATCTTTAAATCCCTCAATATTATAGGCTGATATATTTTAAAATCATTCCAAGATATATTAGCGAACAATTTATTTTGTATTTCTAACAGGTAACCTTTAAAACACTTTTATAAAATGTCAATTAGTAAATTATTTTACATGGAAGTCTAAATAGTGCGTTTTTTTTGGGGGGGGGGGTCCAGTCGTGGGGCTTGAACTCCGGGCCTGGGAGCTGTCCCTTAGCTCTTCAGCTCAAGGCTAGCGCTTGAGCCACAGCGCCACCTTCGGCTTTTTCCTTTTGCTTATGTGGTGCTGAGGAATCGAACCCAGGGCCTCAGGCATACGAGGCAAGCGCTCTACCACTGAGCCACCTTCCCAGCCCACTGGAATTCTAAATAGTAATTTGAAAAATATTCAGGTAGGCCCCTTTAAATTACAAACATTCTTTTAAGGCCACATACAAATATTAAAGTACCAAAATAATTAAAAATAAACAAAATCTGTAAGTAGAGGTGTAGCTCAAGTAGTAAGAGCACCAGCCATAAGCAGAAAAAATGGCAAAAGCTATCAAAAAAGGAAAGTTTGGGCTGGGAATATGGCTTAGTGGTAGAGTGCTTGCTTAGTATGCATAAAAGCCTTGGGTTCGATTCCCCAGTACCATATAAACAGAAAAAGCCAGAAGTGGCACAGTGGCTCAAGTAGGAGAGCAAAAGAAGCTCAGTGTCAGAGCCCAGGCTCTGAGTTCAAGGCCCAGGGCTGGCAAAAAACAAAAAACAACAAAAAAAAGGTAGAAAGTTTTGTGTAGAGCTTTTAAGTTTTATGGTTCTTCCTTATAACAAGTTTTCACTCAATTCTTACCTTTTTCTAGTAAAACAATAAAGCATTCAACCTTTACGGAAAATCATGTCTAAATCTCAAATCAACTTCAGAAATCAGTAACCACCTAGCACCTCAGGCACCTAGTAATTGGGTCAGCCATGATAAGCAACTCCTTTTAATACGCTTCTTTTGGTAATTACAGAAAATTTATATATTCAGATTTAGCAGACATTACACATATATGGGTTTCTAACAATAATTCTGTTAAATTATGGTACAACTTTGTACTGTAATAGAAAAATGTCAACATGTAGTTATTTTATACTAATTGCTTGGAAAATCTCCTGGTCACAAATACTGAAAGAGTTAAAAAAAAAACTCAAATTAATCACAATCTTGAACTGGTTTTATATGTGAATAAATGAGAATTTAGCTTATTGCATCCAATTAAATAGCAGTTGCTTTCGGGCTGGGAAGGTGGCTCAGTGGTAGAGCGCTTGCCTTGCATGCATGAGGCCCTGGGTTAGATTCCTCAGCACCACATAAGCAAAAAGGAAAAAAAAAGCCAGAAGTGGTGTTGTGGCTCAAGTGGTAGAGCGTTAGCCTTGAGCAGAAGAGCTGAGGGACAGCCCCACGACCGGACCCAAAAATAAATAAATAAATAAACAAATAAATAGCAGTTGCCTTAATAAATTAAGAAGGAGCAAAATTAACTTCATCTTTCCATCCAAAAGGCATATAGATGCTCAATAATTAAATATTCGAATCCAGAATAACAGTAAATAGTAACATAAGGCCATAATATTAAGATAATCTAAAGACTTTACTTAAGATCCAAAGGGTAAGCTATCTCCTAAAACAAAACAGCAGCATACCTTGTCATCCCCAGGGCAACGATATAAATTCTGGAAAGTGCTAATGATGTTATTACTAAATCTGGGTGCAAACACATCCTTTTCTTGACCAAACTGATGTCGGGACTGTCGCACAATGGAGTCGATAACATAGAGTCCTGGTACCTTATATTCTGGCTTGCACTGTTGAGAAAAAACAAAGGAGTAACAAGGGAAGAAATTAGAAGTAAAATTCTTGATAGACAAATCTTACACAATTAAGAAGTATTGCTCATGTTGTAATGAATATTCAGACATTGCTTATTCTAAACCATCTGTCTCTTGAAAGGCATTGGCTACACCACATATTTCAGTTAGCTGCCAGTCCCCCATGTTCCAAAATAGTACTGGGTATAACTGGCTTAAATGAAAAAAAGAAACCTGATAAAGAAGATTCTGTTATAATGCTTAAAACTGTTAATGTTTTACAAAAGCAACATGGAAGAAGCAAACTCAGGAGAGGATTCTAGAAGATGAATTGTTGCATGTACTAGATTTCATCTGAAGCATGAAAAAAAGAAGTTTCTATACTAAAGGATCAAATTGCAAATTATGACATATATTGCTTTCTGCACTTTACTATTTATATTTCACAACAAAAATAACATAAACACCCCTAGCTTCTTAAGTCAAACACAACAGGTAATGGTTCATCATAATGATCCAGAATCATATGAAATATAAGTGTAAAGGGCAAAGAGTGTTTAATAAAAGTACACATAGGAAGTGAAGGTTGGCAAGTTACTCCTTTCAGACATCACGCACCACCCTCAGGTTGAAGGAGTACCCATGGTAAAAGCTCTTATCTCCAATAAACCACTAGAAAACTGGAAGTGGAGCTATGGCTCAAGCAGTAGAGCTCTCGTCTTGAGCTGAAGAGCTGAGGGATAGCGCCCAGACCAGAGTTCAAGCCCCACAGCTGACAAAAAAAAAAGTGTATCTACAGTTAAACAAGACAAGTATAGGGAACCGCTGCTTTCACTATGGATGGATGCCACTCTTCCTTTGGGGAAGTAACAAAGGGCAAAACAACAACAACAACAACAAAAAACCACTAAAGATGAGAAAGTGTTTTGATCTCATTAAATATATTCACTGCAAAGTATCAACTACCTACATAAAACTATCAGATCAAGTACCTGGAAAACTGAAAACTTGCATTATAGTAATTCTTAGAGTATATAGTGCAATTTCTGCAAACATAATTACTGAACATTTATTACATTAAAATGACAATAAGCAAACTACTTTCCCTGAAGTCACTGATGTAACAATGTAGTAGTAAACCTAAAGAGGGTTACTTATAGCCTAATGTTATTAACCCAGTGGTAGTTCATGAGCAGAGCATAGAAAGCCTGTGTTAGGGTACCTAACAGCAGACACTGTGCCACTGGATGTAGCTAATTAAAATACAGCATACAGACTGTATAAAAATAAACAGTACTGAATGACAATATTCAATTGTATTCTTAATTTACTGGACAGATTTGCAGTACTCATTCAAAAAGACAAATCTCACAGTTGACTAAACTCTACATATTTTAACAATGGAGTGAAAGATTTCACTTCTGCATTTCAAACTAGCATGGTTAGATACAGGTGATACAAAGCCAGCAAGTCCAGAGGTATCAGATTCCAAATACAATTTATTCTTGAAGATTCAAGATAATTAAGAGGCTGGGAATGTGGCTTAGTGAGAGTGCCTGACTAGCATGCATGAAACCCTGGGTTCAACTCCTCAGTACCAATAAACAGAAAAGGCCAGAAGTGGTGGTGTGGCTCAAGTGGTAGAGCGCTAGCCTTGAACATAGAGCCTCAGGGAGAGAACCTAGGACCTGAGTTCAAGCTCCAAGACCAGGGGGAAAAAAGTTGATAGCTAATGTTAGTACAGGGTGGTCTTGAAAATGTCCTAATATCTGTTTGTGGTCCTGGGTCTTTGCTCATGTGTTTCATAAAGGTAAAATACAATCAGAGACCATACCATTTTTTTGTTTTTTGGCCAAACTCATTATGACAAAAACTAATGGCTGAAGTATTCGTTCAAGTAGTTTTTCTCTTGCCTAGAGGACATTATCTTTATTGTTAATTCTTCACAACAACACAAAGAATCACAGGTAATACACTAACAGCAGACACACTTCTCTCCGACTTGCATAATTTGGTTATGATGTGTGAAAGGAATATAGAATAATATACTTACTCTAAAATATGAAACTAAAACATAATTTATTATCCCAGAGAAATGAAAACATATGTTCATCTCAAAACATGAATGAAAGTTCCTAGCAGCTTCATTCATAATAGCCAAAAGCTGGAAAGAGCAAGTGACCTTCAATAGGTGAATGCTTTTAATTGTGCTATCCATACAATATAGTACTACTCAAAAATGAGAGCAACCACTTGGTATATGCAAGTGTTTGGCTAGATGGCAAGGGAACTGTGCTAAAGCACAACATGACCACCTCAAAAGAATACATACGGGGCTGGGAAGGTGGTAGAGTGCTTGCCTTGCATGCATGAGGCCCTGGGTTCGATTCCTCAGCACCACATAAGCAAAAAAAAAAAAAAAAAAAAGCTGGAAGTGGCGCTGTGGCTCAAGTGGTAGAGTGCTAGCCTTGAGCTGAAGAGCTGAGGGACAGCACTCAGGCCGAGTTCAGGCCCCACTACCACCCCCCCCAAAAAAAAAAGATACATCCTATGATTTCACTTATACAATGAATAGTAGATTAGTGATTGCCAAATCGCAAGGATGACAGAGAGCTGAGTGAAGCTTGATACAAGGAAACAGAGATCTGGTGGTGAGGTTTTGGTTACGCAGTAGTTACATGAGTGCAGATTCAGTCAAGTTGCACAGAACTACAGATACAATTGAGTCTATGCTAAGCTATTAAAAAATGATGTTATGTCAAGAAAGTGACTGCCTATATTAATATAATAATACTGAACTAGTTATACACAACATCTATTATTCGAAAAGACTAGGAGCAGAAATCTTGTGGACATTGGACTTTTTTGTATTTTGGGATTTTTCAGCATATGTGCATACAATCAAAGGTGCAATTTTCCAATTCTGTTGTGCTAGTGGAATTCAGGAGGTTGGATTTTCAGACTAGACTGGTTCAGCCTGTGTAAGCTGAAATGGGGCAGAGGTTCCATGCAACCTCCTGTTATGATCTACGCTTCACTGAGTGTCAATTACAAGTAAATCTGCAATTACATTTACAACTTAATTTAACCATTGCACAGGTCCATTGTTTAATCTTTGGTTTAAATAGGGTAAAGAAGCAATTAACATTTTCCTGAGACAGAAACCTGCTTCTGCAGATTATATATACAATTATCTCTCCCTAGGTCTTCCAAGGTCCTAAATAACTTACTAAAAGTACTTCTGCCGGGAACCAGTGGCTCATGTCTGTAACTTAGCTACTCAGAAGGTTGAGATCTGAGGATAACAGTTCAAAGCCAGCCTAGACAAGAAAGGCCATGAGACTCTTATCTCCAAGTGGCTCCAAGTGGCTCAAGTGGTAGTGCTCTATCCAAAATAAAAGGCAAAACACATTTATTCATAAATTCATTTTTTTCATCTCAACTGTTACTGTTCACACTGATTTCTAAAGGAAACGCACAGGCATCATCTAGAAACTCTTAGAAACAGAGAATCTCAAGTGCCTCCAACACTCAGTTGTTCAGAATTTTCATTGTTATAAGATGCTTATATAATTCTGAGACACAGTTAAGATGTAAGAGGTACTGATTTAGATTTTAGAGCCTTTTTTTTTTTTTGGGGTCCAGTCATGGGGACTGAACTCTGGGCCTGGGCGCTGTCCCTCAGCTCTTCAGCTCAAGGCTAGCACTCTACCACTTGAGCCACAGCGCCACTTCCGGCTTTTTTTTTTCTGTTTATGTGTTGCTGAAGAATCGAACCCAGGGCCTCATGCATGCAAGGCAAGCACTCTACCACTGAGCCACATTCCCAGCCTTCGGCTTTTTTCTTTTTGCTTATGTGGTGCTGAGGAATCGAACCCAGGGCCTCAGGCATGCAAGGAAAGCACTCTACCACTGAGCCATCTTCCCAGCCCCTTTATTCCACAGTTTGACTTAATAATATGTTTAACCTTCACTTTAAACATTAACAAAACTTAAAGAAGATATTCTAGTCTCCTGAAATTGGTTACGAAAACATCCCTAAGTGCAGCAAGACAGCTGCTTGACTTTATCTCCTTCTATCCCCCTACCTGGGACAACAGAGCCATCCACCTATGTAAGATGTACCTTGGTGGATTACAGTCAGTGAATCAGAAGAAAAAAACAGCTAGAATGCAGTATGTTTATCAATGCCTACATAAAGACAAAGCGGCTTTCAAAACATACAATGTGAAATAGCCACTAAAGACGATAAAAAGAATTTCCTTAAATGGCAAAAAATTTGCAATTCCATTAAAAATAAATCACACTGATCTAACTTTCTTCAAGGGACAGATGCTTCACTAATCCAATGCAAATGTAGCAAAACCCAGAATTATACAAATGTGACTATATAATTTTAATTATTTTTTGTTTCATTTTGGTTTTTTGCTAGTCCTGGGGCTTGGACTCAGGGCCTGGGCACTGTCCCTGAGTTTCTTTTGCTCAAGGCTAGCACTCTACCACTTGAGCCAAACTTGAGCCACAGCACTACTTCCAGCTTTTTCTGTGTATGTGGTTTTAAGGAATTGAACCCAGGGCTTCATGCATGCTGGGCAAACTACCACTAAGCCACATTCCCAACCCTAATTTTATTTCTTAAAGGTCAAATAACAGTGATCATTTTAGTAAGTTTATCAAAACAACTTAAACACAGGTATTTTACTTTAAAAAGAACAGAGACATTAATACCTCATTATAGTGCATTTAGCCCTTGTATTTAAAAGTACATACTCACTTTCTGAATGAATTTCTCAACACTTTGGACCACATGTTTATAAAACTGAAAGAGAGGGAGAAAGAGCAGTTTTTAAATCAAAGTAGATTAGAACTTCCTGCTAACCACTATCTTTACCAGTTCCAAAGGAACTCAAACTATTAATTGTAGAAAACATCACAAGACAAGCAAACACAACACTTAAAGAGCTAAGTTCACAATTATTTTACGGCTTACTTCAGTTTTTTCAAAGCTAAAAACATTAAAGACAGTTATTAATAAATCAAAGTAGTATAATGTATCATGAAAGCCAAGATTTAGACTCCCAACTGACAGAAATCTGAACTCAAAAGATTTCTTTTAGCAAAGTAATTTCTCTTAAGACTATGACATCAGAAAATGGGAAATTTAAGCCAGGCATCGGTAGCTCATGCCTGTAATCCTAGCCACTCAGGAACCTGAGATCTGAGGATCGTGGTTCAAAGCCAGCCCGGGCAGGAAAGTCCGTGAGACTCTTATCTCCAATAAACCACTAGAAAACTGGAAGTGGTGCTGTAGCTCAAGTGGCAGAGTGCTCGCCTTGAGCTGAAGAGCACAGGGACAGTGCCCAAGACCAGAGTTCAAGCCCCACGATCGACCAGAAAAAAAAAGGGGGGGGGGGAATTTAGATCCTGTACTTAATTGGGTCTTTTTGTTAAAAAGAAATTCTGTTCAACAGTTCTATAAAACGTCCCAATTATTAATTCACAGAAAAAAATAATACTATATGTTTATATGGTCTCAGGATTGTGATCATACAAATCAAATTATAATGGAGACTAATATAAACAGTACTAAGAGTAAATTCATTCTCTGTTAGCTTATCAGATACATTGAAAACATGGCATCATTGAAGAATTCTTTGGCTTAATGTGCTGTAGCTATGATTTTCTTCAAGAAAAGGATTTTGAATTATAACCACCTAAGACCCTAACTGTGTTTCTAGTAAGGGTCGCCTATTAAAAACAAAACAAAACCTGTTCAATCAACAGACTGTCTGAATTTCTCCCAGTAATAACTAGTGGATATAAATTTGCTAAATTTATCACTATTGTCAAAAGATCATTTAAATACTTGGGATGCTTCTGGTTATGGCTTCTTTGTAATTTAGAGTAGGTAGTCACTCATAATACTCATAAATTACTATCCACTTAGATATTAATTGAAATAAGCACTCATTCATCCTCATTTTGAAGAGCCCTATGAAAGCAGGGAGACTTCATCTGGGGACAAGAACTTCTTGGGAAGGTATCCATGGTTGAACATTACCCAGGAAATCTCAGGCAAATTTCTGTGCAGACGTGCATTTTCCATAAAGAAATCAACCTCTCCCTGAGATTTTCAGCAATGCCAAGACAACATGTGCTCAAAACCTACCACATCAGAGCAATAAATAAATCTGGCTCTTCTCACAGTTCAAGTACCTTACACACACAGTTAGGCCCATTAATTTCCAATAATGGCCCATGTTCAAATATGTATAGAATCAGCCAAAAGAACATGAATACTTTTTATCTAGAAAGTGTTTATCAACTTTTCTTTAAGATTCTGGAAAGTCAACAGTGTTAAAACTATGAACTCTGACCTGCCTAACTGGGTAAGGAACGATCGTTACTTCCAAATTTGTGGAAATCTTGAAAACAGTATTTAAAACACTGTGTGTGTCTATGTAGAAGACTAGATGACAGGCTTTTGTTGTTCTCCACAATGAACAAGCATGAATACTGCAAAGCCTGTGCTCTATAAAAATCATTTATCTTCTACATATTAGAGAGGCATTTTGAAAACCCAGCTGTCACATGCAGTACTCACCTTAATAGCTTTGATGGCCGCTTTTGTAATCTGGGTCATTTTCGCTTTAGAAATGGGTGGTTTATAGTCATTCAGGGAATACAACTGAAGGGGAAAAAAAAGAAGGAAAAGCTGTAAATCTAGCAGAACTAAATATCTTCAAAGCATAAAAGGAAAGGGTTTCTGTTCTTAAAAAAAAAATCAAGCTCAATATCATTTCCCATTAAGAAACTTCATTAAAATTACAATAAGCTGTCCCTCCATATTTACTTGCTGATAAGCAAAACAGACAATAACAAGTGTTAGCAAGGATGGGGAAGAACTGAAGTCCTCAGGCATTGCTGGTGGGAAGTAAGAGTGCAGGAACTTTACACATTGGTTTGTAAGAAACTTAAAACAGTTACCGTATGACCAAGCCAATTCTACATCTACGTATACATTCAAACTCGCTGAAAACAAACATCCACATAAAAACTGGGCAAGGCAACATGTCTCACACCATAATACTAGCTACTCAGCAGGCTGAGATCTGAAGATCCTGGATCAAGGCCCACCCAGACAGAAAAATCTGAAAAACTCTTGCTTTCAAGTAACCAATAAAAAAATAGAAGTAGACTGGTAGCTTAAGTGGTAAAGCCTTATGAGAAAAAGCCAAGTGGGAGTAGCAGGCCCTAAGTTCACACACACACACACACACACACACACACACCCTGGTACGTACACACACACATACACACACACACACACACACAGAGGTACGTACACAGACACAGACACACACACCGGTATATGAATGCTCACTGCAGCATCACTAACAAAATACAAGTCATTTAAAAAGTCATTTAAGAAAGAATAACTCAAAGATCCATCAGATAGGAATGAAGGAATAAAATGTATAATATCTATTCAATGAAATATGAAATTCTGGTTACAGAAAGGAATGGACAACTATATTAACATATGATATGATGATATATATGATATGCTACAATATAAATGAACATAAATGAATCCTAGAATTTTTTTTTTAATGGAGTATCACTCAATTGCCCAGGCAGGCCTTACAATGGCAATCCTCCTGCCTCAGTGTAGATTATAGGCTGGGAATACAGGCATGAAACACTGATATTATCCTAAATTAAAGAAGAAAATTCAGAATGGCTACTTTTGAACAGGGATTGAGCCATGAGCCAGCTGTTTTTTCTTTCTTTATTTTTTGTTTAAGAGAAGGAAATACCTCTCCTTACTACTAGGGCTTGAACTCAGGGTCTAGATGCTGTCCCTTAGCTTTTCACTCAAGGCTGGCTACTACTTGATTCACAGCTCCCTTTCAGCTTTTGCTGATTAATTGGAGATAGGACTTCCATGACTTTTCCTACCTAGGCAGGTAGCCTGAGCTTCAGATCTCAGCCTCCTGAATAGCCAGAATTACAGGTCACCAGCCCCAGCTTTCAGATACTTTGTAAGAATTTTAAAGATAAGACCCATAAGATATTTCTGTGTCTCTCTCTCCCTATCAGTGTAATCATCAGGTACAAAATAACACCATATTGTATGGCTTATAATAAACCAGGTAAAACAAAGATCAACTTCTCTGAATTTCTTAGAGGACCCACAGAAGATCTACTCATGTCCTCTCTCACTAGAGAATAACAACAGACTTTTTTTGTGTTGAGATTTTACTTTTCTCCTTATATTTAAACTGAACTGTTATTGTCTGAGATGAGATAGGTGTTGTAAATTAAATCAATATAAATAATCATATACAAGACATAGCTATGCATAAGCTTGGTTGGAAGACTTGAATTTTAATTCCAACTATCTGATCTTATTAAGAGTTTTTAAGGCAGGAGCTAGTGACTCATGTCTATAATCCTAGCTACTCAGGATATTGAGACATGAGTATTGAAGTTCAAAGCTAGCCCAGGCAGAAAAGACTGTGAGACTCTTACCTCCAATTTAACCACCAGAAAATCAGGAATGGTGCAGTGGCTCAGAGCGGTAGAGTGCTAACCTTGACCAAAAAGAACCCAGGGACAACACACAGGCCCTGAGTTCAAGTCCCATGACCAACAATAAAAAAAGTTTAGAAAGGCTGGGAAAGTGGCTCAGTGGTAGAGCGCTTGCCTTGCATGCATGAGGTCCTGAGTTGATTCCTCAGCACCACATAAGCAAAAAAAGCTGGAAGTGGCGCTATGGCTCAAGTGGTAGAGTGCTAGTCTTGAGCTGAAGAGCTGAGGGCAGCACCCAGGCCCAGAGTTCAGGCCCCATAACTGGATCCAAAAAAAAAAAAAAAAAAGTTTTGAAATCTCTGACACCTTAGTTTTATCAAAATAAAACAATCACTTTACAAAAGCATTGTACATATGAGATGGGTAGACAAATGAAGAGTCAGGAAACTGTAGTCATAATATTAAATGCATATCCTATGAAATTTAAAAAAACAATAAAAGGGATTGGCTGGGCCATTCAGAAGTACGTTCTGTAGTGAATGGTCATGAAGCACCACCAGCTAATCTCATGAGTGACACATTTCTCCTTTCATTTTTTTTTTATAATCAGTCTCCAAAAGTAGATCATATATCATATAATATAAAAAGTTGATCTATAATATTCCTTGCTATTAGAATAGCCAGGCTTTATTTGAGCTCATTCGAATCAGGTATGCCAACCAGCCACCAAGAATTGGGAATAGATTTCTCTCCACATTCTTAAAATCTAAATTCAGGTCTTATACTAGAAAGCACTGGAGAAGAACGCATCTTCCTCTTCCTTTGTCTTACACACCATTCCCCATCTCTGCATTCCACTGGGGTCAGGAGACCACAGTGTCATACTCTGAGCTTGGGCTCCCAGTCACAAGGTTTCTCCTCTATTGATTATAATTTCACCAGTGCATTTTTGGAGAAGCTTCCTGCTGCTGTTATTCCTAAAGTCTCAAGTGGGTGCTAACCCCAGATACTTTGCTTCATTAAGTTCTTCATTGTTTGAAACTACTGTAAGTTTTGTTAAGTCCCCTGCTATTGTTCAGACTGAACTCTGCTTCCCACACCTAAATTTCTAAAATAATCTAGAGACAAAACTCTCACACAAACCCCACCCATCTAACCTCAGTGATTGAAATAAAAGTCCCAGTGCCAACCTGCCACTTCCTGTGGCCACTAAGACATAACTTCCCGGAAGGATACCAAATTAGTGTTTTCATTTTTACTCGTTCATTCACTGTTTCAACTCCCCTTAATGTACTCTGAAGAGCCTTCTTAAACATGTAAATTTTACTTATTTTTTGGTGGTGCTGAGGACTTAAACTCAGGGCCTCAAGGATACTAGATAAATGCTCTACCAGTTGACCTTAAACTCCTAACCACAGCCTATAAAAGAGAGAGACTTTAATGTCTCTATCATGTGTGCTATCATAGCATATGTTCTTTTTTGTTTTTGGTCGGTCATGGGGCCTGAACTCTGGGTCTGGGCACTGTCCCTCAGCATTTCAGCTCAAGACTAGCACTCTACCACTTGAACCATAGCGCTACTTCCGGCTTTTTCTGCTTATGTGGTGCTGTGGGATCAAACCCAGGGCCTCATGTGTGCAAGGCAAGCGCTCTACCACTGAGCCACCTTCCCAGCCCTACCATAGCATATATGTACTTTAAATCTGAACATTCCTTCATGTCAAATCAGTTTTTAAAGACTGTAAGCAAGATTTGAGTTTTGTTTTTTTGTTTTTGTTTTTCTAGTCCTGGGGCTTGAACTCAGGGCCTGGGCACTGTCCCTGAGCTGCTTTTACTCCAGGCTAGCACTCTACCACATGAGTCAAAGCGCCACTTCTGGTGTTTTCTGTTTATGTGGTACTGAGGAATCAAACCCCAGGCTTCATGCATGCTAGGCAAGCACTCTACCACTAGGCCACATCCCCAGTCCGATTTGAGGAATCTTTTACCTAAGCCAGTTTGTCAGTTGCTACTTCACTCTCCATATGACATTCACTTTATTATCAATCAGGCCAGGTACCTGCATACCGTTTATGTCATAGGTCAGACAGTACTTTGGGCTTTGTGGGTGTTATGGTTTAGATGTGGTTTGTGTCCCCAAAGTACTGAGAGTGTAATGCCAACTGGGGTGAGGAGATTTAAGGGGTCTGGGTATCACTGGGAAACGGCCTTCAGAGGGTATACTTACTGGGTGAAACCTTGGTAGCTCTCAAATAGTCATAACAAAAGCTCTCTGTCTCACCACACACTCTCCTGTACCTACAAATGCCCCCACAGCCATCCCACCATCTCCCATCAGCACTTCTCCAAGGTGAAGTAGCCAAAAGAGGCCTAAAGGGGAGCAGAGCCCATATGATTCACTGCTCCAGGTAGCAGGCTCTTGCTGCTAATTTGTACTTGAATGGGCATTGTGTTGTAAATGTACTTATTGCCAAAAACTCATCTTTAAAATTGAGCAATATTCTCAACTCTATAGATAGCTTCTTCGTTTTGTCAATGTCCTTTCACATCCCTGGAGAATATTTTCCTGCCCTCCCCTCTATGAACTGAGACAAAACTGTTGTAATCATACCACTTCAAACAAAACTTTTTCAACATTTTTAAGAAAATTAATGCCCTTTTCAATTTATAATAAAAAGTGAGTTCTATGACACAGGAATAGTACACAACCGTCTATTAGGTGCTTTATTCCAGAGAACCACAACCACCTCCCTCACAAAGACTCAACCTTCAAAGGTGCCAATGGAATTAATAGAAAGAGTGGATCTAGAATAATCTCACTAAACTATCTAGCCCATCTTTCCCAAAGTAATGATTAAGATCCCTCAAATCTCCAAAGGAATCAGAAGTCTCACAAAAGTTCCTGCCATGAATACAATGTAAATAATCTATAATAACATGCTGCTCAGCCTTTTTTCTTCTTCTTCCTCCCATTAGGAAGATAATAAAGGACTTTTTTTTTTGTAAGAGTAATAAAAATCTCACAATGAAAAGTAGCAAGAGAAGACTTAGCACATATGAAATGTCTAGTGAATCAGAATTCCAATCTTGTCACTCAACACAGAAGGCAGGAAGCACACCACAACTAAACAAATGCCTCCTACTTCTAC